AGCAGTTTCCTTCAGCTTCAGGTGATCCACCAACTGCACCCTTACCTGGATGAGCAGAGCCTAGCAACTGTGACCCATGCGCTGGTAACTTCTTGATTGGACTATTGTAATGTGCTCTACGTGGGGCTGCCCTCAAAGACAGTCTGGATACTTCAGTTGGTTCAGAATGTTAGGATGTTAACAGGGACCAGCAGATACGCACATATAACACCGGTCCTTTGCTATCTGCACTGGCTACTAATTGAAGTCCTGGCCCAATTTCAGGTGTTGGTGATTACCTATAAAGCTGAAAGCAGTTTAGGATCTGAAGGGGTGTCTCCTTCCCTATGTACCTGTCCACCCCTAAGATCTGGGTCAGAGGTCCTTCTTTGAGAGCCCTCTTTGAAGATGATTAGGAGAGAGGTGAGTCTGGCGCTGTTACACTATTCCTTTTGGCACCAGACCAAAACTTTTATTTTATTTTTTTTGGGTAGGACCATCCTGAGACTTTCTGTAATAAGATGGGATGGAAGAGCTTGAAGTAAAATAAATAAGTAAATAAATGTGGACAATAATTCACCATTTCCAAAGCTCTGCCTGCTCACCTAGGCCAGGGAGTAGGTGAGGAGCAGAGTTCCCAGCCTTTTTCCCTCTGGTGGGTCTTTCTATTCGGATTGCTCCTCTTCTTGATGCCAGAGGCAGGGAGATAAGCGAGGCCAGTTCTCTGCTAGCATGGCTGAAGGACCTGATCCAATTGCATCTAGCAAATGCTGTAAAGCAGCTGAGTGAGGCTTTGAGCTGAGCAGGGCAGCCTTCCCAACAATGTGCCTTTTCAAAATAGCCCCCCTCCTAGTCAGAAAAATACTGCAGAGAAGGGGTGATTCTGAGTGGGGAAAAGGCTGAAAAGGAGCAAGCTAAACTGCCCCCCCCCCCACTTCAGTGGTTATTTGCAGCTGCACAGCATAATAACTGAAACCCTTTGGAGGAAATAACCGAGGAATCAACCCAAAGGAGTTGCTCTCAACTGACTTGTACACTCCTGTATCCTCATGTGGCTTTGCTGAAGCACCAGCAGGGGTGGGGCCCTGAAAGCCTTCATAAACTGTGCCAGGTAGCTTGCAGCTGCACTTCAAAAAGTGGCCTTTTCAAACATTCAAGAGCACGCTAAGGAGACCGATGGCATCATTTGGCAGTGCAATGGAGGTAAGGGGGCAGTGCGATGCTCTGAAAAGTAATATTGTGTTCCATGCTGCGGATCAGACTTACCAGTTCCTCAGGCAAAAATGCACATATTGTTGGCTCCATTTCAGGGGGAATGTAAGAAACCTCATGCTTTTGCTTTCCATTTTATCCACAGTTCAGCAATGAACAGTTCTCATTGCCTTTTTCTTTTTTTAATATAATGGATGATAAACTGTATTTCTACCGAATTTCCTCATCTTTGCTTAAGACCTAAATATCCCCTGTTAAGTCAGTCTTGTAATGAGGACAGAATAATGTGTGACTGGGCTGGATGCAGATTTACGTATGTGTGTTCAATGGATTTCAGTGGGGCTACATGAAATGTGGATCCAGCCCATTGGCTCTGCCTATGATTGCAACATAATTCAGCAGAAAAATTATGAATTGCATCCAGAGTTATTTATGCTTGGGAGAAACAAGTTGGGCCACTAACCAAACAAATCATGGGCTTGTTCATCTGAAGAAGTATGGGAACAAAATTACATACTGCAGCATATGTCACAGAGGCAGCAGTTAATTGCTCCATGCTGTACCCTGTTACGTGTCATGGAAGACAACCAATCATTGTGTAGAGGTGATGGATATTTATTTTGTGTGCATTGCAGAACTGCTGAGCATATGCACTCGATTATTAATGCACCTGTATATTTATTCTAGAGAAAGGTCCTTACCAGTTGTTAATGTTGCCCCAGGGGTCACGATGTGCCCGAAGGAGAATTCCCCCTCTTTCGTGCTTTTCCTCCCTGCACTGAGCTTTCCCCCATTCCCACAACCAGTGCGAGTCTTGGCTGTGGCAGAGCAAAGGAGGAATGGGGAGCTGGCGGACCTCACATTGCTTGTCTTTGTCGTGCAGGTGTGCATGGGCAAGGACAAGCAGGTGCACCCCCCCCCCCGCACCCCCACATGCCTCTGGCTCCTGAGGAATCCCTGGAATCTGGAGGGGAGGCAAGAGGACAGCACTGTCCAACAGGACCAGCCAAACCCCGTCGGGTTGCTGAGGGAGGGCCACGTGGGGCTTGGGGTGGCAATGCTCAGCAGCACGGGAACTGCAGAAGCCTCTTGGCCAGTAAAGGTCTGCAGCTCTTGCCAAGTGGTTCTGTAGGGCCAGGGCTTCTCCTGGGTGTATTGTAACATCTGGGTTCAGAAAACGTGGTGTTTGAACCTCCGAGGTGGCCAGGCCACTGTTCTATATGGATGCAGAATATAAAAAACAACGAAAGGCAAGCACACCCTCCCCTTTTCTGTGGCTGCAGCAGTTCCCTGAATAGGCCAGTGGATGCTCTGCAGGCCTTGGGTGAGCAGTGCATCCAAAGTGAACCTTGGTTCCCTGAGCTTTGCTCCATTGGAATGCAACCTGCCCTCCTCTGCAGGAGAAAACAGGTCTCTACCCACCTCCGCATGGCATACCCTCATGTACCTATACGTTGCCAACAGATCCCCTTGGAGTCTCCTCCAGGCTGAACAGACGCAGTTCCCTCAGTCTCGTCTCATACGGCTTTCCCTGCAATCTGGCCACCATTTTTGTAGCCCTACGCTGCACCAATTCCAACCTGGCTATATCCTTCCTGTAATGTGGAGCCCAGAAGTGAACACAATACTCCAGCTGCGGGCGCACCAGAGTCATATAGAGTGGCAGTAATAGCTCTCTTGATCTAAAACCACACTTCTGGCTATGCAACCAAGGGTGGTGTTCACCCTCTTGACTGTCGCATTGCACTGCTGACTGATGATAATGTTCTGTACCAACCTGCCTCTTCTGGTAAACCCAACTAATTTAAGGTATCTTTGCGGTTTCAGAATATGTTTTTAAAATGGAAACTGCTAATCCCTTTCCTGTGCCTATTAAAATAATCCCCAGCTAGATCTGTTATATTTTACCACATGTTCAGATTCCTTACAGGGACAAGTAAAGAAATGTTACAATCAGGTGATGTTCGTTTAGGAATAAACAAGCACATAACTGTCCCTGTTCCTGTTATCCTTGATAATTTGTGCATGCAAATATTGCTGCAAGACTTCTAAATGCCTAAAAATTCTAATCCCATATATTTCTACATAAGATGGATCCTTACCTTATGTATCAAGGTTAATTCTGTTTTACATCATGAATGTGGGATTTGCGTGATAAACATGAAATACTTCACCAAGCATAAACTATGAACAATCATTTGATATTCATCACTCAAGCTATTGTGTACTGCAGTCTTATGCATTTTTTCAAAATTTAAGTCCACTGTGTCCAGTACAATTACTCCTCAGTAAGTATGCCTAGCAATGCATCTCAAGCCAAGAGCAATGTTTCCTTTTCATTATTCTATTTTTCCGAAGCCTTATTTACTGACAATTGGTTTGTTTAGATTCCACACTGCCCTCTCCCAAAATTTCCCGTATATATTGTTTATTGAGAAAATGTTGTACGCTGTACATTGAGAAAACAAAAATCACAACTACAGAAGAATTATACAACTGTAATGTCAACAGTGAAGAAACTGAAAATGTAAAAAGTTTTGCATACTCTGGGTCAGTCATCAATTTGCATACTCTGGGTCATCATCAAAAACAGTGTCAGCAGTCAAGTAATAAGAAGTAGACTGAGACTTAGAAGGGCAGCAATGAAAACTTGTTTGTTTGTTTTTAATTGAATATTTATTTATTTATTTAGAATTTTTGTATGCCATCCCATCACATAGCCTTGGGACGGCTTACATAATACAAATAAAATCCAGATTCACCCTGGATGATTCACTTTTGTGCCTCAGTAAAAATATTTTACAGCTTCACAGGGTAGAGCATTTTTTGTACATCAAGTGGTAACAGTACCAATTAAATCCATTTCAGTTCCATGTTGCAACACATCAAAATGTGGGAAAGACAAAGGGGGTGTGTGTGGGAATACTTCTGGGAGGCCCTCTATGTCACAACACACTGCCATCTAAAGAGGGCTGTGGAGGAAATAATTCAAACCAAGGCCTTTGATTTACCTAACAGCACCACTAGAGAGAGGCTTTGAAAGGCAGAATCTAATTTTCAAGGGTCTTGACAGCTAGAATATTTTTTCCTTTGGAAAGAGAGGGCAGGAAGAATCAACCCATGCTATCCATTCCACAGATCATCACTCTAACCATTGAGCCATCAGGAGCCAATAAAAGAGAAGCTCAGGTTAGGGCCCATGTAACCTCCCAGGTTCTCTGATCCACAGAATATCCCTCCTCCCCCTGAACACAGTGACTGGGGTGATTTTGATGTATCTCTCAATACTGAAGCTGTACTAGGTGTTGCAAGTGAGAATATAATTCTCAGGATGTTCAAATCAGGATAGCTCAAGCTTGTTGAGGTTCTCTCAATCCCACCTTGAAGCTTTTTTCTGAGTTGTGCCCTCATCAGACTGAAAGTTTGGCTTTTTTCTTCTCTCAAGAAAACCCACACATATTTGTGCATGCATATATTACATATTTGGACATTTTCTAAACACAAACATTATACAAATACTTTTTGTTTGCTTGTTTCCACGAAGACACATCATAAATTTGAATGTGTATGTACTTATGAACCAAGTTGCATTTGGTTCCATGTTTTGGTTCCAAAAGATGAAAACTGGATACATTCCAATTAAAATGAAACTGAAATTAATGTTTCATAAATTCCTCAGCAGCAACCCCATGTACTTTCTAGCAGGTAGTGCTACTCAAAACATCCTGACCAAATGTAAAAGCCCTGTACTCTATAATTTATTGCAGTGTACAAATACGGCTATAAACATTTTGTTTTTTGTTTTGCAGATGGAAAATTCTCCTTGCAATTTGCTGTCTGTGAAAATCATACAAATAAAAAATCTACAAAAAGCAGATTTATGTGAGTATCCCGGTCCTTCCACACTTCCACGTCAACACTTACTTCCAATGGGATAGCATCACCAAATTGCTGTGAGGGGCTATAAGCACAGAAAAGCTGCTAAGGCAATCAATATTATTCATTCATTTCTACTTTGTTCTTTCCACCTATTCTTTTAAAGAGACTTTTATGGTGGCATATTTATTTTAAACTTATTGTGTATGTGGATAAAAAAGAAGAGCAAACATAGACATACTCCAAAGCCCCAGAAACTGTAATTCCCAGAGATTTTTGCACTGAGTTCTTCAAGATAAATGCAGGTTAAAGGAACAGTCCTGTCCTTTGCATCCCCTTCTTGTCTTTGCTGCTGAAAGGTACCCTGTGGGGGAAGATTTTGACTCAGAATTTTTTAAAGTCATCGTTTCAAGGTCTCCCAACCATTTTTAAAACATTTCTGCCCCACTCTGGTATTTCTGCCTTTGTGGTGATATTAAAAAAGTCCCCCTTCCCAAAAACCTTTCAGACCATCAGATCATGGCAGAACTGTAAAATGACCCACCCTTCACTTGTATGAAAAAATACAATTTATACACCGCCCCAAATGTCTGCAGTGATGCACGATCCTTCCTGTTCATACAGAAGAGATGTGCTTTTAAAATTAATTTTCCTGTGAATTGATACGCTGAAACAGAACAAACTTGCCCCTCCAACGGTCTTGATGTTTGGACCAGATGATTTGCCTCCCTTTTTGTGGGAAGCAACACTCAAAGAAAGGGTTGGATCCAAGATCTGCCAAGACCACTGCAGAAAGGGCTTTACCTGCAGATCTCTGCTTTTTATTTCAGGGGGCTCCCCTCCACACTGCAGTTCACCCCTGAACAGGTTCTCCTGACTTATACCATCTTAAGGAGACTGGAAGGCCTGCCCTGGAAAGTGGGGGCAGAGAAGTCTACTTACAGGAGTACAGTTGATCTGGCTTCAGTCTGGGTTCCAACTCTAAGTGATCTGAAATCCTGTGCTAATGCAGACAGACAACCTGTGTTACTTATTGATAAGCCATCATTTGCAACACTAGCCGTGAAGCCTACCTGTTTGCATACCTTTTACCAGAGCTACTGTGCTCTCTGTCCTTTGTGAAGCACCTCAACTGGGTATTAGCATGAAAAGCATTGTAAGCCCAGGCAGAAATCAAGAACAGAGTGCCAAGAAGTGTTGATGAGTTTTCTGCCTGTTGGTTTAACCCATGGGTCCTCAAACTATGGCCTGCAGTACAGATCCGGTCCGCCATGCCCATTTATCTGGCCTGTGCCGCTGCCCGCTCGCCACGCAGGCGGGAAGGTGGTGGCTTGCTCACTCGGAGATGGTTTCGGACTCGCTGGGAGATCTCCAAGCGCGCAAACCGCTGCTGCACGTGCCCGACACCGCCTCACCGGCCTGTGCACCCAGGCACCCCCGCCTCACTGGCCTGTTCGGGTCGCCTCCGTCTTTCAACTGGCCCACTATTGAAAAAGTTTGAAGACCCCTGGTTTAACCTGTTGCTTGAAGATACCTTCTTGGTAAGACTTGTTTTGGTTCTGGCTCTGACATCAACAGTGCTACTAACCTATATAAGCACAAATGGCTGTTCTATTTCTTCTGAAGGCAGAAAAAGACAATCAGAAAGCAGATCTCTGCTCATGCATTAGGTTTTTGAAACCACCCTGTCCTGAAGGTGGAAGGTGCTGAACAACTTTTTTTTTCTGCAGGCGCTTTGAGAGTGGTGAGACGTTGTTCTCCCTTTATTGCTTGCCATAGTCTCACCCAAAATTTTAAATTACATTTGATGTTAGTCATGACAATGTGAGTTTATTGTTTGACTGTTGTGTATAATGTCAGCTTTTGAAGCTTTGTGCGTTGAGCTGACTGAAAATGTCACGTTCCAGTGTGGATTTTGCAGTGTTGGATTTTGTCTGTTGCTCCTGGAGCTTTTCCTGCTTTTGGATGGGAGAGGCTTTTGTGTACAATTGTTACTTGACTGTAGGTGAGTGTGAATAAGACAGCTCATTTGTAGTGGATCCTAAAGGCACGTCAGATAGCCTTTGTTCAGCCACTCTGTCAGAATAGTCCTACACACTCATCAATTGCAACTGAGTAGCAGTTGTTCCATATGCCTTGTGCAGGATACAACCACAACAGTACAAGCCTCTGAGCATATGCTGTTTCAAAGCTTTTTGTAGGCTAAACCAGCTTTCTCCAACCTGGTGCTTTTGGATGTTTTGGATTTTGACTGCCATCAGCTCCAGCTGGCATGGCCAATAGTCAGGATTCCTGGGAATTTAGTCACAACTCTCAGTTCTTGAGCAGGTTATTTTTCTTCTGGTTTCCCCAGTTTGCCTTCTGGGAAATTCTGTGTGAGAGCACCCACACAGTCTCCTAAAGATTCCCATGGACCCAAATACATTGGAGACCCTGGTCTAAAGCATCCAAAGGATGCCGCACTGGAGAAGCTAATGTCAGCATAAATTCATGTTGGGGAAGCTAACGTCAGCATAAATTCAAGCTCAACATAGATTAATCATGAGCAAAGGTATGAGATACAGTTATGATCAAATGACTTACTTCCTAAGTATTGTCTTGCTGTCAATTGTGTGAGATATTAACCATCAGAAAAAAATTATTTGTGTCCTAAGGATTCAGCTTAAATTGTGTCTTTTTAAAACAGTCAGCCAATCTGATTGCTATGTGAGCTTGTTTCTGCCAACGGCTTCATCTGAAAGGGCCCAAACCAAGGTGATTAAGGACTGCAAAGTTCCAAAGTGGAATGAAACATTTTGCTTCAGGATACAGAATCGGGTCAAAGTAAGGCAAACTTTCAATGAATAATCATTTTGACAGGATCCTTTATCCATTTCAGACAATTTTCTAACTAAATTATTAGCTGCAAAGAGGCTTTAACCAGGCATAATTGTTTGCTTGAGTATGAACAATGAGACCAGGATTGGTTACTTTGTTTCTGCAAGAAAAAGGAATTTTTTCCAATGTTGATCATCAAAAATGCTTTTTCTGAACATTTATCTTCTGGACATTTCTTGCACAATATAGGAATTGCTGGTGGTTGCTGCCATTTTTTTAAAAAAAGTTTTTATTGAAAATGTATTTTTGTATAGTATATTAAAAGAAAAATGAACAATACACAAATATTAAAAGTGTAGCATGAAAGAGTTAATATAGCAATAGTTAATTTGGTTTCCTTTTGAATACACAGTGTAAGGAACAAAACCCACAAGCAAAAAAATAACATCTATCAGCACAGTAGACAAATATGGTTTTAAGGAACTGTACCAATCTCTAGGGGTCTGATAAAGCCAAAACACCCCACTGTAGATTTGAATATGCTAGGAAGAAATTAGAGTACCTGCCCAAAAATAATATACAGTTTATTGAATACAATGATGAAATATGAATGAAGACTATAAAACTTACATTCCCATTAACTGTGGCCATTTGGATTCCCTGCATAGGTCAAGGGATGCTCCATGGCCCTCCCAGTTTACCTGGGTAAGGGACATGTCAGTTGCTCTCCCCAGGCTGAGAACAAAATGACACTGCCTCTTGCCATGAATTTTATACCCTTTCTTTCCTCCACAGTTCTAGAGGCAAGACTGTACTCACAGACTCTAATGCCCTTTCCTGGGAGATAGGAGGTGTGTGTAAAGCTGCTTCAGTGAAGGAAACAGTTTTGCTTCTTAAATTCAAAAGTAGCTCTTATTTGGTGAAATCTACTTGGGGAAAGCAGCTCCAAGTTAATACATTACAGAAGCATAGTCTGAACCTGAGGACAAACTACACATTACATACTTTTCTAAATTAGACTGGAAACGTAGTACACAGGTGTTAGAGAGAGAGAAATATCTACTTAAGCCTCTGAAAGAAAGTGAGAGGCTCAAGAAAGTTTTCTCTGCTTTGTAGTCTTGAAGGATGTTCCTAAATCAAAAGATACCTGGTGATAAGAACAAGAAATGATATTTTTAGCCTGCAGAGTGGGAGTCACACATGAGCTCACTGAACAAAGGCTAGCACAAAGTTTATATACTAACATTCATGTCACATAAGTACTCTTAACCAATCATAGATGTATATATATGATGTCCATGGGGTCGCGATGGGTTGGACGCGACTTCACAACTAAGAACAACAACAAATGCATGCTACATATTATAGCTATATATTTTAATCTAATAGAAGCTTAGCGTATATTCTTTCTTCCCAGTACATCCCAGAAAGCTATGCCAAATTAGGAGAACTTCTATTTGTTTCCATCCACCCATACATATGTCTTCAGGTTTATCTAACTAGCTTTCTGTTTCACCTCTACAATTCCCTAACTAACCTTCTGTTTAACACTCACTGAAAAGGCAGATTTAATTCTCTCACCTGAAAACTGATTCCATCCCTTCCCCACATGGCAATCAGTGAGAAAGTTAAAAGCTGCCTCTCAGAGGGGAGGGGGTGGCTGGTGAAAGAAAGATTGAAGCCGCCTGCCCAAAAAGGGGCTACAGGTGAAGTGGAAGAGGGATGCTGCTTGTGCATGTGGGGCTCCTTTCCTGTCATGACTAGGTGCCTTTGGTGGCACAGGCGAGGTATGCGCTTGCACAGTTTGTGAGTCCTGATTCCTGGTGAGCACCCCGCAGACGCTGGAGGTGATCAGCAGTAACTCAGACCCTGGGCCACTGCAAAGTTGACCAGAGTCTGGGGAGCTGAGCCCTGGGAAGGCAATGCATTCTCACCCTCACATCGGTTCCTCACACATCCCTTCATGTCAGTTTACACAGGGCTGCATCCCATTGCAGCTGTGTGAATCAACAGGCTTAAGGTACAGAACTTATTCTACACTGGAGCGGTAAGTTTAGAATAGAATGCAAACTAGATCATAGTCTGTCATTCCTCTGCTCTCCACCTTTCACCTTGCGTTTCTGTTCTGTTTTCCTGCCATGCGGAAAGAAGACACTGACCTCTGAAGGTGTCTCTCACACCTGAAGACTTGGTGCTGCTCCAGGACCAGGACATGATGACCTAACTTTCCTTCTCTTCTCAGAATGTCTTAGAGCTGATGGTTCACAATGGGAACAGCTGCCTCATGGACAACCAGCTGCTCACTGTCCTTTTTGATGTTTCTAAAATCCAACTTGGAGAAACTGTTTGCCTCACCTTTCCATTGGATCCAAAAGTAAGATGCCCGAACTGCAGGCCACCGGAAGGATATTATTACCAAGCAGAATTACTGCCAGGTTTATCATGGGGAGGAGAGGGTTGTTGGAATGAGAAAGACAGTTGCTCTTGGCCCACACTCTCAAGGCCTGCAGATTGGCTTTTGGAGGAGGAGGAGGAGCAGGAGGGGCCTTGGAATGTGTGCCAATTCCATATGTCGAGATGAGAGAAGCAGAGACGCTTATCTCAAGGCCAGAGTCCCCAGGTAGGCAGGCAGTCCCCAGACCATGAGAAGGGAGGGGAAGAGGCAGGTGAACATGTAACACAGTAGAATCGGACTGGGTTCAGGCAAGAGAACAAGCAATGGTGGATTTTTTTAACCACTGTTCATCTGGCGTGTTGTCTGAATCCAGTGGTGTTGTATTTCACTATAGTAAATTTGTCATTTAGAAACCAAGATAAGAAAAAAACAGTTTGTTCTATGGCTCTTCACCATGACTTGTGTTGTCTGAAGCCAGGATCTGGTATCCATATTCATGATATGTAATTACCAGAGAGTGGAAAAGTGGCAAGTGTAGAGCTTCATTCTGGGTGTTGTGCATCTGGAAAATACTTTGGTCAGTAAAGAGTATTTTTCAAGAAGGGTCCATGGCATTGGATGTGTGAAGGGAAGAACCCCAGCTCATGTCACATCCTATCCTGGTAGTCCCAGTCTTCCTCCTTCCCTGCTCCCCTTGGACACTTTCTATACCCCTTCTCTAAGGTTGTTCTTGGAGGGCACTATCTGCACCAGCAGTAGATCCTCACCTCCAGGGACAGAGCTCTTTTCTAGCCTTTCATAGGGGAATCCAAAGAGACCTATGGCTCCCTAAATGCTGTCAAGGGGCATAGGATTGCTCTGCTCAGTTCTAACCCTTCACCACAGAGCTAAGGAGAGTAGGGGAAGCAAAATGATGTTTGAAAGAATACAGGAAACCACGAGATGGAGAGTGACACTAGCCTCCCCAGAACTGCCCTTGTCTTTGTCCTGGTTGAATAGAAAGCAAGCTGTGCTAGTTAGGAATGAACCGAGCCCCATTTTGGCAGAAAGCAGAATGGAGCCATTCCACTGTACTGCAGCTCCAGGGGGGATTGTGCAAGAGGATTGCTTTTATAGAGCGCCCACAGCCACTACATGGCATGGCCATAATCAAAGGTCCCAGAAGAGCAGGGCATACGATGGTAGAGGCCCCCTGTCCTCTGTTAGGTACGTGGACCAGGAAACAGTCTCTCTGGGAGGCAAGCCAGGTTTGTTCAGAACAGACTTGGTGCATAGGTGAGATTGAATGCCAAGGTGCTGCTTTCTACCATATATGCGGATCATACATCTTATTGATTTGTCATGTTTGTATCAAAATATCTGATGGATCATGCTTGTGCATGAGTTTTTCTGGCTTCTTATAAGGCAGTTGCTAAGTTCTTCATAGCAAAACAAAAATATTTGTCATTTCACAGGTTCAAGAAGAGCTGGAAGTGGAATTTAGTCTGGAGAGCATGTAAGTGCATCCCAGTAAGATGGCATATCGAAGACCCCAAAACACCAGGAAAGGGCTCTCTCTGCCCACTGTGAAGGATGTGGTAGGAAGGGCTTTATCAGGGGCGCAAACAGGGTGCGTGTCTGCTCACTGTGCTGGCACTGTTGTGGGACATGACTTGCCCAAACGTGTAAGTCCAGAGTAGGGAACTTCTTCTACCCCCCAGGGCTAAATCCCATTGTGGAGAGGGCACTAGGGGTGCCATTCCCACATTTCCCCATGATTTTCCATGAAGCCAACACATGGGAAGGTCTGCATGGCAGGAAGCTCCACTTGCTTGCTTTTGGGTAGGGGAAAAGGGGGTGTTGGCCTCCCTGGCTTGGAAGGACAGAAGCACGCAGCAGCTCCTTCTCCTGGGTTTTTGGGAGTGGGACAAGAGAGGAGGAGCTGTCTTTTTTTAATAGCCGTATCTTTGCTTCTTCACTTCTTTGTACCCACACCTTCGTAGCTACGGGGAAGGTCTGCACGGGAAGGCATTGCACTTGCTTGCTTTTGGAGGGAAGGAATGGGGCACTGCTGCTGGTCTCACTGGGTTCACCCTGTAGGGGCTGTGAGGACAGCAGCAGGCAGGGCCACATTTTCCCTCCCCATGCTTTTGTGGGGGCAGCAGGAGGAACTGTAAAGCCCCCCTTTTGCTCTTTCACAAAGTTAATTGAGCTTAAAGCAAACAAAAACAAGGGGCACTTAAACGGCCATTTCAGTGCACACTTCTCCTTTTCACCGTCTCCTGACATGTTCTCAGGAGATAATGCAAACGCCGTCAAGCTAGCAACCCTCACCAACAGAGCCGGTGCGCATCCAGCTGTGGTGCAGGAAAATGTCATGAAAAGTGTGGATATCTCCAAGCCATGAGGAACGAGGCTATAGCAGCACCATGAGGAAACCTTGGCCAGATGAGGTACAGTGCGGATCCTCCTTGTTCCTGCTGCACCCAACCTCCCACACTTTGTGTACAGTGGAAAGCTAGCTCGTCACATACGGGCTGAAAAGGATTGACTTGACTCTCTTGAACTCACCCTACACTGCTGTGTTGGGGGCCTTTGTGTTCACTAAAAATTAGGTTGGTCACAATTTTGGTGGAGATGGGGTGAGTGCTGAGAGACAACCCTTTCTAAAATGACTCATTAGTGGTCTCATTTTTATACTGGCCAAGGCTTTCTGGGTGGTTAACAAAGAGAATGGCATTAAAATAATAAAAGTATTAAACCAGTGCAGTTTTGATCAAATTGGAATAGCAGTAGTACAGCGAAATACAGTATCAAAGCTAAGATTAAAAAGTTAACTACTAAAACATGGGCAAATAAAAACATTTTCACCTGGCACTGAAGGGTAGCAAGTAGGTTCCAGGTGCACTCTTTAATTGCCCGTGTTCTAGGGATCAGGTTAATTTTGCTCTTTGTGGCTGAGCCTCTGGCAGATTCAGAACCTAAGGTAGCCCCATGACTTGATGCTTTTTCAGGTACTGGCTTGTCATTCTTAATACATTTGGCTGTAGTTACCCTATATTTTTGTGTCTTGCCTCATCATCTCGGCATGTGCTGCCAGAAGCCTGCAAGCCATGCTGCATGTTGCTCAACTCGACCTGTGTCTCGGTTTTCCTGAAACCTTACAAAGTTTCCATTTTGTGCCCCTAAAGGTCACATTAGCCACTTCTCTAAGTGTCTTGTTTTATTAGATTATGCAGCAGCAATGAAACGGAGCCAAGCAAATTAACACAACCAGATCTGTGTACTGTAAGGGGGAGCCTTCAATGAGAGCAAAAACTCAATTTGCAGAAGTTCCCCCTAGCTAATTTTGGGGGATTTTCTTCTCTTCCACAAAACATACCTCAGGAGGTGCTGTGTATGTGTAGCATTTTCAAGTTGCAGAGGGGCTACCATGAGAAGGCAGGGAAGAGGAAATCTACTTTCACTCATCTTTTATCCAGCTTAGATCTGGATCTAACTCTAAAATTTCAGGTACATTATTGAAGACTAATTATTATGTCAACTCTATTTTGTTTTGCAGTCCTGTTCCTGATGAGCATATTGCTACTAATGGTGTTTTAGTGGTAATCTCACCTTTGCTTTATGATTTTACCTTTTTAATCATATAGTAGTTATGGACACATGACTATGATATCTGACTGTAGTCTTAAAGCCTCTGGATTCTAAAATAATTTGGCCAACTAAGCGAGTGTGGTAAGGAAAGACAAAGTCCATGAACTGCCAATTTAATTCAGCAGTGGTTTGTTTTGATCATGTGAATCAGATTGTAATGTGGCAACCGAGGAGAAAGTCTTCTCTATCGTGATGCCCAACCTCAAGCAGGGAATGGGGCATTCATGGGGGTATAATACCGTCTTCATGGACTAGTGTGGACTCTGCTGTCCTTTCGGCACCATTGTTTAGCCAGAAAATTTAGGCTGGCTACTCCGACCTGCTTTTATTTTTACTGGCTTTCAAAAACTCTTTGATCATTGTATGGTACAGATTTTATTGGCTTTGAAAGAAACCAGCCATGGGTTAATATGTCAACTTCAAACAATGGCTTAATATCTTGGTTTGTGCTAAAGTTGTTCCCCATAGTTTCCTGGTTCAGACTGAAAGGAGAAAATAGTCAGTTGGGCTTCTTTGTTTGATGATGAAGCAAAAGGGCTGCACACATGGCAAAAAGGCCTTTTTCGGATCTTGACTAAATAAGATTTTATGTTAAAAGAATGTTGGATTCACTGAACTGAGTAACCCTCTTTTTCATTTCGAATATACTCTTGAAACTAATCAAAAAGTCAAGACATAATTTTATTAAATATAGGTAATGAACAAAGATTAATACAGATAACCATATATACATTTAATTCTATTAACACCTAGGTTAGAAGGAAAAATTCATTTATTCATAAATGACCCTTCATCAAAAAGGTATTAGGACAGTAAACAATGAGAATAAATAAAATGGCACACAATGCAAAAGTAGAATAAGAACAGTAGCATAACAAGGATTCAACAAATGTTCAAAAGGCAGCAAAAATAAAACAGGGCAGAGTAACCAATTTAAAATGTCTGTCCAAACAAAAAGGTGTGAACCTGGTGGCAAAAGGACTGCTGAAGTCCATGGGAGGGTCGGGGCATCATAACAAAGACAATATACTGTTTTATACACTATATATATGCTATATACAGTTCATCTGACAAGGCACACTGAGGAATTTAAATTGATGGTGCATACCAGCATGTTCTAGGAGTGAATACTGAATTATCTCTTTGTCATATTATTTTTAATATTAATTTTATTTTATACTGCCCAAGAGCAGAAGCGCCCAAATAAGTGTGCCCAAGATTGCAGTCATCCTCCCTAACAGAGCAATCCTAAGTGGTATCAGAAGGAAGTGAAGTGTGCTGCGCAGGAAGTGTGGGGCTGGTAGGTTTGTGGAGCCAGTGAATTCCTCCCACCCCCCACCCCCCATGCGTGCCTGCACATGCGCACACACAGTCACTAAGCAATTTTGTGGAAACCCACACTGGCACACCTGGGGGTCCTGATTCTGGCAGCCATTGAGTGATTGGAGGGACTCTGAATCCGGAGAGTCCATTTCTCTCTGCACCCACCCTTGATATGCTGCTTGGAGTTTTATGCCTACTGCCATGGGGAGAACATGGCAAGAAGAAGCTCTGCTCCACACAGAGGGCCTTGTGGGCAGAACCAGCGCTGTTCAGTCATCCACTTCTAAGCAAGAGCATAAGCTCCCATTGCTGGGGTTCCCATTAAAATAAGGGAAGGAATGTGACCCTAACACCAGCCTCTCCCAATGCCGCTCCCTTCCGGACTTGCCTGCTTCAAAATGCCCCATCCTGGCAGGGTCTCAAATATACTATTACGCTCATATTAAGCACTCCCCTATCTGAAGGTCCTCTCCATTGCCTAGGAGAATGTTTGCCCAGCTAAGGTTCCCTCAGAACAAGTGATCTAACTTTGAAATCTCACCAGAGGCTTATTGCCTAGCCTCAGACAGGTATAATTAACTCCAGAAATCTATAGAAAGAAAGAGAAATCACAGCTACACCTTAAAAGCTGCATGCCTAACCAGAAATCTAGACACAAAACTGTGCATGACAAACTCCTTGATACTACGGTGATCTTCTGTATTTCCACCACACCACCCAGACAGTATCTCTGAAGGTTAGGATTATTCTGCCCATCATTATTTTAAAAAAGTGTAATCAAAGATTTACATTTACACTGCTGGTTAGACAATTTCAGAACAAAACAGCATAATATGTGGATCATGTGTACCTTTTATGGCTGAGTATTCCTGAAAATGTATGTTAATATCATATATTTAAAATAGTTAAATGATCCTGGCCCTACCTTTTATCAGCATATTCAGGCTGTTTCTAGTTTGTTTTTAAAGTTGCTGTAGCTGTCACTTTATAACTATCTTAACTTGGCCTGAAAGATTTTACCTTTTGTTCTTTTGACTTTCTCTTCTGATAGTCCCGTGAAGTTTCCTGTTTGGAGGTTCAAGTTAATGGAGGAAAAATGAAGGAATCAAAAGGTTATACTTTACATTCTAAAATATCGGTTTCAAGCGTATGGTTTTAAAAATTTAAAGCCTTTTATATCTCACTTTTGGACTTTTATAAATGTTATTATTTATTTATTTTAAGCTGCAATAAGTTAACTAAAACTCTCTGTGTTCTAATCTGGACATGGATCATATGGTTTTGTATCGGATTTAATAAAGAATGAATTTATTAAGAGTTCTTAAATGCCCCTAAAACCATTAGGCTCTTCTAAGAAGCTGCCTGCCAGTCCTGGTTTTGAGGGCAGCACTGCTGGAATAAATCTGCATATCTCTGTTCAGGTCATCTCTATTTGTTTACTGCTTATGATCCAGTGTCATCACAAATAAACAAATCAATATATTGCAAGGCAGATAAATTAAACATAAATTAGTGGAAAAGATAGATAAATACTACACTGACCAATTCAACCCAAGGATAAAATTCAGTGATGCCAGTTTCCAGTTCCAGTTTCAAGAATCAAATGAAAGAGAAAAAAATAAGATGTATCTCTTGTCACAACAAACGGCAAACTATTGTGTCCTTTTCTTACTTGTAAAGTACTTGTGTTCGTGGCAGTGTTCATGAACTGAATTTTTAAAATATGGCCACAGTAATAGTGGAGTTATCTTTGTCCTTTTTCTTTCCTGTAGAGGAAATCTTCAAATTTACTGTGGAAGGATCCTTTGAAGAAAGCCAGGACCTTTTGTTGGGCTCTGACCTGCATCTTGTGGATCCTCTTGTGTTTCACTACATCAAATATAACAAGTCTGCATTAGAAATTGAGCATCCAAGAAAGTCACACGTTACAGGCTGTGTATGCTTTTAAAGGATGTTTTAATTTTAGTGGGAACATAACACAACTTTCAAGCAATTTTATTTTAGAGTAAAATATTAAGGATATGTTTTCTAAATACATATTTGTCTCCACAAAAATGTGATAGATAGATAGATAGATAGATCATTAGCATGGCTACAGAGAGGAGGAAAACTGCAAGATAAAAGAAGGCTACATACTATGAAAGGCTAAAGTAGATGTGACAGGGTATTATTTATATGTTAGGTACAACACAAATAATTATAGAATTAAATCAGTGGATGAGTGGCCTAGTCCCTGACTGAAGTGGTAATTAATGGACATAGTACCCTCAATATAGTTAATAAACTTCCAAAGATGGGAAATCAATTTTATTTATTACATTTCTATACCCTCCCCCCATTGCCAAAGATCTTTTGGCATATCACAATAATTAAAACCATTAACTACAATATGATGAAATACAAGATCAAGATTAAAACTACAGTATAAAATAAAAACAAAAAGCAAAAGTAAACCTAGCTGCAATCCAAACATTTAAAATGCAGAAACAAAATTAATCCATAAAGATCCTTTTGTCTCTGAACATTCTAAGAGCTGTTGAAATGAACATTGAGCCAAAAATATTCCCCCTGTTCCACAACCCCATTAATAGGCTCAAATGTGGGACAGTCATTTGGTGATTTCTCTGGAAGAGAATGAGATAAATTCTTGAAAACGGAAGTTTCTGTGGGATTACTGGAGCAAATGGCAGTGGCTTTTTTCCCACTTGCTCTTTTCCAAAATGGCCAGTGCTACCAATGATAACCCAGCAGGGCCACCATGTTTCTTCACAATGTCCCACTTGGAACAGTGCTTTTCCATACAGTGGTGCAGCTAGACCAGATCTAGGGCCCCACAGCTAGAATCCCCAAATGAGTGGCAGCAGAGAAAAGTCACAGAAGCAACATGTTGGTGCTACAATATAAGTGAGTCTAAAATGCAAAACTGCACATTCTCAGAGTGCATTTGTTTTTAATGTGGGTTTGCAAACAGGTCTTGTTGTTCTTGCTACTGTTGTTCTAGCATATCAGGAACAGAGTAGCAAATGTAAATCATAGATTGTGCATGGGAGGGTGGGGGGAGAAGATAAAATGTAGTTGTTTCTAAAGGACCATCCCATAGAGTCATTGAGTTCAGGGTCTAAATAGTTAGCTGTATACTGACTCCAGAAGCATTGCAGGGAGAGACCCTTGAGTACTTGCTGTTTCTCTTTGAAAGAAAGTGTTCCAAATGGAACTTTAGGCCCAGTCTTAGGTGAGACTGTTAGCTAGTAAATTCCAGCTCTGTAGTGTCATGTTACAATCTGCTTCTAAAACATTTTCATTGGAGTGGGATCTGTTAAGAACTGTTGCAGAATGTCCTGGAAAAGCCCTTAAAACCTTCCCCTGCAGCATTAATATAACTCCTCTTGTGCAGAGATTGACCTGTTTTTCTCATGTAAATAGCATGAAGATACTGTTGCCAGATGGTAAATTACCAAATTTGACACATTAACTTCAGCTCACTACAGAAAAGAATTGTCTTTCCTTAGGTATTTTACCTGCTCTACTGACCTTGCTATACATTTCCAGCATCTCTTGCTTTAGTCAGGGGTTGTTTTCACTTACACTGATTGGAACATCTTCATTTGATGAGATTTTATATCCATTTAGATAGTGCACTTCATGCAATCTCTTGCATTGTACTGCCATAACACATACTTCGGGTGATCTCTTTGTACTCAAAGTCCTGTTGTTCTGGGGCAAGACTGAACATTCTCCAATGAAAATATGTAGCTCAGTTGGAATAGGCTACAGGGACAAAGGTGGAAGTGAAATTGCATTCTGCCACTTTTTTGGAGTGAAATACTGCCACTCCTTGTGGAAATTTACATATGTTTATGCAATCAGCTTCCAAAAATCTCATGGATCTAGTACAGTTGGCCATTTTGCACAAATTGGCACCTGAAAGCACATGGCCTTCAGTATTATGGGAAATCATTATGTGCTGTTAGGACAAATTAAAACCTTTTTGAACAGTAAAGCACATTATCCTGTGCAAGAATAAGATGGGACTTATAGGACTGTTTTCTGCCAAAACAAGCATAGGATTCTACCCTAGCTGACAGGTGCTTGGGTGCTAAAGAGTTTTTGAAATCTTGTTCTTTGCCTTGTAGTCTTTTTCTAGAGAAAATGCAGATGAAAAGGTCTGTCTCACTTTGCCTCTGGATTCACATCATATGGAAAAGAAAGTAACTATAGCTAAGGTAATGACTGTTGCTTTCCGTTAATAACGTATTTCAGGTGTATAAACTTGCACTGACGTAAGTGATTCTGGGGTGGCTTAAACAGTATTCTAAGTATATTATGGATCATTTCTTCTAGTGAACATTTTCATTATCATTTATACTATTCTATGATCATTAATGTGTTACTTCTTAGAAAATTACATGGACAGATGCTTGTTGCCAAAGAGAATTTACAACCTAAATGGATCTCAGGGAAATATGGCGGGGGAAGAAGGAGGGAGACATAAAGTCTCATTTCATCTTCCAAATTTAGCCAAATTTCATCAGAATATTTTGTAATTTTGCTGTACCATGAAGCGGTCTGAGATCACACGGATGTGTCTGCAGAGCACCATTATTCTGCTAGCGCTTCTTCTACCTAAATGCTGCTTTGTCTGTTCACTGGACCAATTCTTTGTAGATTGATAGAAGAAGCATTTTTCTATTAGAGATGAATGGATTCAGGGTGTGTATCTGTAGAGAAGTCAAAGAAAAGGAAATGACTAAATGGCGTTTATGTGTAAGGGGGAAACTCTGCTGGCTCAGATGGTCTGTAGCAGTGGATGAGGAAGAAATGGGTAGAAAGGGCTGGGCAAAGCCTGGTTGAGGAAGGAAATTCACTCCCTCTTGCCCTTGACAGGAAGGATTTTGTTAAGAAGGCCAGCTGAGGGTGCTGCAGTAACAGCTGTGGAAGTCATTATCCATAGTTTATTATTATTATTTATTTTATTATTATCTTTGAGTACCTACAACAAGGGAGGTGCTACAAGTGGAACAATGCCTGATTAGTGAAGGCAGAAGTTTGCCTCATTAGTATTTGTGCAGGAGAACAGGGAGTTGTAAATGGGAGCAAACTGGAGGGAGTAGAAATTGCCTGTCTTCCTCTTGGAAATGCGGACAAGTGATGTCAAACATTTCTTCCAGATGAACAATATTTGATGTTGTCACAGGGTGTTAATAATGTTTCATAATTCTTTAATCTATAGGATGAAACAATTGATCTGTGTGTAAAGATAAAAGATTGGTAAGAACATTTTTATCTATATATCTACTGTATATTCACACTCAGGGTGACTAGCAATGAGCTACTCTAAATGAGGCTGTTTAACCTGTTCATTCTACCTCCATTTTTGTGGCAGAATTAAGATCAGAGCTGCACATGAATTAGGATGCAATTCTGTGGATTCCCAACATTGTCTGTGAACTGTGGGATTATTCAGAGTCCCTGCCTTGAAGTCCTGTGACCTCAGTGCTCAGACTCCAAAGGTCAAGCCCGGCGGCGGCTTTTGCAGCTGGTGTGAGAGAATCACGCAAACTGCCTTTCTGAGGTCACAGCAAAGAGGCTTGCTGAGGATGGGTGGGGCTGGCACTTATTGATGGTGCATTCAATTCAGGCAGAGCTCTACCCCTCACCCCCATGCTCCTTCATCGAAACAGCTGATGGGCAACACACGGGACACAAGGCCCAGCAGCAACAGTGATAGCCACTGTTCTGCCTCATTCCATGCTTTGGATGCTTGCGAGCCTCCGAATTCAATGCATTCTGGGCAACAGGGAGGAGGTGGTGTTGCCTGCACCCTTTTCCTTTCCCCCTTTCCCTTTCTGCTAGGTGATGTTGTGCTTTAATGGCATGGGGCAAGCACACTGCTGGATACAAACACTATGTTTTGGCAAAAAGCACCGAATTTGGCAAAAAGCACCCATGGCAAACTCCTCCTTAAAATTGCTTTTGAGAAACAGAAGTGAAACTGCAGCATTGCCTAAAGGGCCATAAACAACTGTGAGTGAGCAAAGACAAGCCATAATAAAAACCTTTCCTAGAAGAGCTCAGCCATCAAAACCAGTAATACAATAGAATAAGTTTCTAAAATAATACTATCAGTGTAATAAAAGCGAATAGCTGGAGCAGATAAAAATACATATCTGGTAAAACAAATGACTGCCTGAATATGGAAGTCTTTTCCATCCTGTGAAAACTGTTAAGAGTTAGTACCAGCAAGGGATTTGGAGAAATCCACAATAGATCCAAATGAGTCTGGATTTCTCCAAAACTGAGCTGTAGATTCCACGGCAGACTGGGTTTTTCCGAGTTGTGCAGAGCAGGGTCCCCCCCCCAAACTTTGTGGGGCAGTTTCTCCTAATGTACATTCACATAAGTGCATGGCTGCATGACAGCACACTTGCACTAATGCATGTGTGTGCAAATGGAGTGAAAGACACATGTATTCTCCTGTCAGGGATCAGTGAGCAGATGGCTGAACGAAAGATGCTTGACATTCTGCAAAACACAAGTGGAGTGGATTTAACAATATCTGCACACCCCTAGTTCCAACCTAGCTTTAGGGCAGAGAATTTTGCAAGGGAAGTATAGCAACAGAGAAGGAACTTGTCCTTGTTGGAGCATGTCATTTATTTCATAAGACTTGCTTAATTTTTACTATGACAAATGTAGGTCATTGCTTTTTAATTTAAAGTTCATTTATACCACTTAATATAGTCAGATCCCTGGGCAGTATTATACCTAGTGGATTATGATGAATTCTATTAATGGTTTCCAACATGCGTAATTCTTGATTCTAGTATACATAAACAATGGATTACAGTGCTGGGCTGTCCTGGGGCCAATTCTGCATTTTTTGCCTTCTTCATCTCTGGCTCAACAAGTCTGGAAAATCCATGGGAGAAGGAAGAGCTGCACTTTTTGGCAACCTGGTTATATTCAATGAACACCAGTGTTCATTAAAGAGACAGGACAGGAGTAATTTCAGAAGAAACGTCCCTTCCCCCTTGTATGGGGTACATGCAAGGGCTCAGCACATGCAATCTGGAATCCAATCAATGACCAGAGTCCTTGCTAGTACAGTCATTCACACAAAGACTCAGTTTAGGCATTTGAGTGGACATAGAGGGTGGGGCAGGGAGGGCAGATTCTATAGTTGTTACCCTGTGTGTAAGCACTGAATGTGTGGTTTGAATGCCTGGAATGGGCATTGAAACCAAAGGGACTCAAAGTGTAGCTGTGCCTTTAAGACACAAAGCTTTTAGTCCAATGTACAGAACCATCCCATGCATCCATAATCAGAAACAAGTCCTATTGACTTCAACAGGTCTTGCGTGTATGTAAATGTGATTAAGTGGAGAGGTTTGTGAGAGGTGAGATTTTTTAGGTTAGAAAATTGGCGAGCAAAATGAAACATGATAGAAGTGTACACTATTTAGCACATTGTGGCTCTTATGTTCTTAAGAACTTGGCCCTAAACTTATCCAAGTTTCTTTGCTTTGCACCCAATGGGTTGTTGCTTACTTAAACAAATGGAATGGTTTTGAAACACACACACACACACACACACACACACACAGGGGGGGGGGGGGAGAGAGAGAGAGAGAGAGAGAGAGAATTTATTTATTATTTATTAAATGTATTTATATTTATTAAATTTGTATAAAAGCCCATTACCATCATGCTCTCTGCACAGCCAGAGAGCATGTTTTCATCCTGACATGTTTGAAAATTAATACAGAACCATAAAGTTGGAAGGGACAATGGGGACTATCCAGTCTAACCCTGTGCTCAGCACAAGGCCTGCACTACAGGGTGCAACTGCTATAGCATCCCAGGCAGATGGCTGACCAGCCTCTGCCTGAAGACCTCTAGCAAGGGAGCACCCATTACCTCCCCAGGCAACCAATCCCACTGCTGAACAGCTCTCTCTGTGAGAAAGCCTCTTCAACTCTTTAGCCTACATGTGCTTTCCTACAGTTTCCACCCAATGGTTCTAGTCTTGCCCTCTGCAGTGACAGGGAAGAAGTCTCTTCCATCACAGAGAGCTGGGGTAAGACTAGATGGGCTGGGAGGACCCTTCTGACTCGTTCAGTTTCTATGTTTCTTCATGGCTGCCTTTCATATGTTTGAACACTGTTATGTTTCAGGGAATCTTTCTCCCCATTTCTATAAATATAAATGGTGCAGTTTTTTAATGTACGTATTTTCTAGAAAACAATGGGTTATCCAGCTTTAACTTAACCTGAAATGCTGAATACTTAAAAATGATTTTTCAGCTCATACACATTCATACTGTCATTCAATAAAAATTGCCAGGGCAAGCCTACGTTAGAGGAACACACTCCCTCCCCCCACCAAGCAAATCAGCAAACATAAAACAAGAAATTCATACTAATTCTGTGAATTAATAATGTAATCTTAATTCTGTGAAATGAGAGCACCACACACTCTTTGTTATGTAGATAGAAGGGGAGGCGAATTCTTTCTCTCTGCCAATAATGGCAACAAAATCCACCTCTCTGAAGCTATTGCTTGCATTTTAAGGGAAGCTCAGATTCACCTCCTCCATGGTTCCTGGGTTGCCAAGTTTTTCCCCATGGCAGCAGTTGACCAAGAGTGCATTTAGTTGGGATGAGCTAAAGAATCAAATAATGAAAATAGATGGAATCAAAGGAAGTCTGAAAATCAAGAATATCCTTAAGTGTATAAATGCAGCTTCCATGTTATATGTGCATTGTGCATTAAATAAAACCAATATTTATTTTATTATTATTTTTGTTTGATGTGATAATTATCTCCTCCTCATCCTCCCCCCCACCCAATTTTCTATGCACACCTGCCTGTGTAGAGGTTCAGGTATCATTTGTCTTGGATTTTTTTTCTTAGTAAGAGCTCTGTATTGGACTGAGCAGATATTAAAATGCAGTACACTGACATTTCATTGTTGTGGGCATGGGCTACAATCAAGGCCAAAAGACCTAGATGTACGTTTGGGATATGAACTATGTTTGGATGAGCAAATACTAATGAAGAAACGAAAGAAGATCACTGCTAGTGCTTTAAAAAGGGTTCTCGCCTTCAAGGATGACTTGCAGGACCATGAGGTATGTGTGACACAGCTTGGTATGTATTCACTGGAATGAATTAAGGCTCTGGATAAGAAAAAAGAATACAGCAGGTTGTAGACATCCGGCTTTGCATAGACCTATTAAAATAAATTGAACTGGACGGAATCAGTGTACACTCTCTACCGCTAATTCAACCACTAGTTTTAAATGGGAACATTTGTTTCATTGTAGTATATTGGCTCTCCCCCATCTTTCCCCTTCCACAACTGATTTTCTTTAAATGTACCCAGGCATCTAATTTTGTTGTGATTTTGTTGACCAGGTGCCCGTGGTGGCTGTCATGGCAACAGGAGGCGGGGCGAGGGCATTCACAGCTTTACATGGCCACCTCTTCGGCCTCCAAAATTTAGGCATCTTAGACTGCATTACATATATTAGTGGATCTTCCGGCTCCACCTGGTAAGGATTGCCTAGTAAGGGTCTCCTTTTGACATTTCTATATTCTCTTCATGCCAAATATTCACTGGGGTGGGGGTTGTTTTGCACTTACTGATACGTATAATGGCCAATATCCAAGGAGCTGTTATGACTGTACCACACTGATTCCATTGCATCAGTGAGGCCCACTGCTTGACCAATGGAGATTTCTGGGAGCAATTGGAAAGGAGCAGAAAACAAGTACAGTGGTGCCTCAGCTCACGAATGCCTTGGTTCACACCCAAATCGGGTCATGAACAAAAATTTCATGAACATTTTGACTTGGGTCATGAACTCCGCATTGGGTGGCAACCAAGATCACAGCCATCTTTTCCCCCCATCCCCGAGCGGGGAGATGGCCACGATCGCAGTTGTGCTCATGCAGGAAAGATGTGTGTGATCACGGGTGCACTCCTGCAGGAAAGAGGCCATCTCCCCCCACACCTGAACCAACACGATTGAGGCCATCTCCCCACCCGCACCCCGAGTGGGGAGATGGCCATGAACACAGTTGCGTTCGTAAATGGAAGACATAGAGGAGCTGATGACAGAAGAACTTGCTGAACTCCAGAGTGATCAGCAGAAGACGCTTGCTGAGGAGGATTCCACTGAGGAGGAGGAAGACAGGGAGGAGGTTAGCAGTGATGTGATACAATCCATTATGAAAAAATGGAATGAGTGCCAGGATTTCTTTAAAAAGCACCACCCCAACATAACTATAACAAACAGTTTAATCTGATGAACGATAACATGGTCTCTAATTTCCAGAGGGTTATGCAGTGCAGGAAAAAACAAGTGACTATAGACAGATTTTTCACCAAAATTGACCCTGCAGCAAGGAGACAAAGAAGAAAGGAAACCCCTGAAGGAGATCTCCCCAATGTCCTTATGGAGGGGGACTCTCCTTCAAAACAATAACCTCCCCTGCAGCTAGGTTAGTGTTCTCCACTGTACTGTACAGTGCTTTGTTGTTCTTTGCCACTTTGTTTCAATTTTTTCTGATTAAAAAAATAGTTACAGAATGGATTAACCTTATTTACATTGAATCTTATGGGGAATTTTGACTTGGCTCATGACCAAATATTCACTCACAACCACATTTGGAGGGGCCTAAACAGATTAACCTTATATACATTGAATCTTATGGGGAAATTTGAAGGACTTCATATAGGAAACAGTAAACCTCTGTTGCACAAGTGGTGGATCCTGCTTGTGCAATGGAATCAGCGAGAGGGGCTGCTTGCACAACAGCCTCATTGGATACTGTCCTGTACATTCATATTTCAATAGTTTTACTCTTTTTCCAAACTGTCCTGGGAACAGGGTTGAAGGTATAAAATAGATATATCATAAATGGTAATATAAATAAATATAATGCATTTGCTTCCTGCAGACTCATCCATGATGCTAAATTCTCATTAAGGAAAAAAGAGAATACACTGAGTTCTATTCAGTGCTAGTCTGACTTATAGTAGATCCATTGAAATGACTGGAAGTTAAGTGACACAAAGATTGGATACAACCTAGTATGCTAGCATTAGGAAATGAAAGCCAGGGTGATAAAATGTTAGGTCTAAATTTATTTATTTATTTATTTAGGGAACTTCTGTGCCGCCCCATTCGCCGAAGCCTCGGGGCAGCTCGCAATCATAAATAAATAACATCATATAAAACAATATAATTTAACAGTATAAAGTAAGTCGCCCTGGCCAAAGAATAAAATAAATAAATAATATTAACAATTAAAATGACGTTTGAATAAAAAGGTCTTCGCCTGGCGCTGAAAAACAACGACGGCACCAGGCGGACCTCTCTGGGGAGTGCATTCCATAGATTGGGCGTTACCGCAGAGAAAGTGGTGAATGATGAAAGTGCTAAAATGCTAATGCTCAAATGATAAAAGTTTTGATGCATGAAGTAATTATCCTTCATCAAATTTACCAATTTGCCTTGGGAAGTAATTTACTGCTAATGTATGCAAATAGGATGGAGACAAGTCTTACCTGTACATCTGAGCTCATGGGAAGAAGGGTAGGATTCAAGGATTTTTAATTCTTATCTGAATACATGGAGACTAAAAAGCACAACAGTCTTCTCATCCCAGTCTTTTGGAACTGTTGTTTTAAATAGCATCATCTGGTTTAGCAATTGTAGTGTGGTTTAGCTATAGTGTGTGAGAGATGTTTTGAATATGCAACATCCAATTGGGGCCATCAGTGTTTGTGTCATGTAAGCCTGGCCATCATAACCTTGATTAATAGTTGGATTAAATGTGGATTGTTTAACCCTTGTTTAACCCACAATAGCCAGGTTTTAACCACTTGCCATAACCCTTGATTGTCAGAATTGGAGGTCTCATATTCAGAATGAAGATCACACATGTCCTGCATGACCCTTGGTTAATCATGGGGTAATTAACCCATGATAAGTCTCTGTGTCATGCAAACTAGGACCATCCTTTTGCTGCTAACAATCTGGCTAACAATCTCGAGGCACAGTAAGTATATATTTGTGTGTCAAGTTACATGTTTGAAAAAATGTTAAGCTCTGTTGCTGGCAACAAAATAGCTTCTGCATTTGTTGGAGAGTTTTATTTGTTTATTTCATGATAAAATGTTCTTATTTTCCAGACTGCCAAGTACCTTCCTTAGGGTTTTTGACATGATTTTGCGTGAAAAAAGCTCACATTATTTGCCAGGCTCCTTTGAAAGAATCAAGTCAACCAATTTTGCATCATTATCTGTTTGGAGGTGCTTATCTGCTTTATTGTTGATCTTACCTGCAGCAATTATATTTAAATCATTTCCTCCCAGGGCCCTATCAAATCTGTACAGTCATGATGACTGGTCTCAGCAGGACCTTTCAGGAGCGATTGCAGAGGCTTGCAGGAATATGACCAGATGCAAATGGGACTTCCTTTCCGTAGAAAACTTAAAAGAATACAGCAGGGCCCTGGAGCAGCGCCGAAAGGAAGGCTACAAAACATGCATTACTGACCTCTGGGGACTCTTCATCGATAAGGCATTAGGCAACGGGGTAATACCTACTTCTGCTTTCTGAGTTAAAGAAAAATGAATTACGAAATGCTGAGCGGACAAGATGTAGTCATACAAAGCCCGAAGTAGAACAACACCAAAAGCAGGAGCACAGGCCTCTTCAGGTGTTCAGGCTGAGCACGTGAGGGCAAAAGCTGCATAGGCACCTGTACCTACATTGCCCTGGTGTTTCCACATGCACCATCCCACCGGCTCCACTCCAGTGCAAAAGGCTGAAGAGGGGGTCTAGTTATCTGCAACTTGGTATTTGAAGTGTGATGGTCAGGAGTGGAGGTGGTATCACCAGCACTTTTAGACTTTGGGGAGAGACGGTCCCCTTACTGTGTAACAATATGAAAAGTGCAGCCTGAATGGGTTAGCAGGAATCCATAAAAAGTCAAGGGCAAGACCCATTTTTCTGGCCAGAGGAGAGAGGTCACAGCCTGAGAGAGTTCTGCAAAGAAGCCTCTGCTTTCATAATATTTGGAGGTTTGTCTAGAGAGCCCACGTGATTCTGGAGCGTGCATCCTCACCAACTCTGAAACATAGATCAGAGGGACTCCCTGGTGCCTCGCTGACAGCAGAGAGTGGGCTTTCCCCCAAAGCCTTACAGCTCTGCCTGAAGCCCTGCCCCTTTCCCACATCTCCTCTCACTGACTTCCTAGGATTTCATTTCTCTGTGAAGAGAGTAGCACAAATATTAAGTTTCACTCTGTTTTCATGGAGTGAGTCCCCATTGGTGTTTGGGTGGGTTGTAGTGATAAATTTGGTGTCCAGGTCATGGGGCTGGGTCCAAGAGCTGGGCTAGTTTGGTGGAAGAAAGTTCCTTCTGGCTTCTCTTCCAATTACTTTTATTATAAACAGGAACCCCGGCACCCTCAGCCCCCTTCCTTAGAATTCCCTGTTGCCTCTGAGCTTAGCTACAGTTCTCACAATAACAAGGACGAGAGGGCAGTGAATCTCTCCAGTTGTGCTGGCTTGCTCTTGAATGGGCCATTAAGAGCCAATAGCTTTCCAAAAGATCTTTTCCTAATGGAAATGAACACCGTCAGGACTGTGTTGTGCAGATGGATCCACACAGTTGTTGATTGTGAATCATTTGATTGTGGATCATAAGTTGATTGTGGATCATAAGTTGTAGCTATAAGAACTGCCATGGTGAGCATCTGCAAATCAGAAGGCACTGCTAGGGCACTGTTTATTTTGCTATTTCAGTAGTCTGGTATTAGATATATTATTTGTTTCTACAGAAAGGCAGTGGTACTCTCTCAGATCAGAAGCGTGCCCTAAGTCATGGCCAGAACCCTCTTCCTATATATATGGTTCTCAACACCAGGGACAAATATAGCCTTCCAGAGTTTAAAGGTAAAGTTAGCCATATAGCATCTAATTTGAAAATGAAAAGTACTCAGCTCCTGTTTTGAGTTCCTTCATGCAAGAGGAACACCAGTTTCACATATGAAGTCACAATCTTATGCACAGAAGATTCAGAACTCAAGTCTGTTTGATTTTCTGCCTCCCTTCTTATTTCTATTTATAAGGCCAAGATGGATAGCCATGTCAGTGATGTGTGAGATGTAGGTGGTTTTGCATCATCAAACTACTTCCAGATTAATTGAGAAAATGTATCAGGGAAGGCATGTTTCCTGTCTGAGCCTGAGATGCTGGATCATGTAATGTAGAGTCAATTGCATGTCCATGCTGTGGCAATGGATAGCAGAAGAAACATCAGTCAAACATCAAGAAAAATTCCACAAGGAACCTAGAAAAATTGCAACCACTAGGCCTGTCCTGTGAACATCAGGAGTAAAGTTGACCTTTTGGGAGCTCTGCTTCAAAGAAGTACAGAGACCAGGTCCCTAAGCAGTACAAAGCCTATTTGGTTTTGGTCTTGTTTTGCTGAATTGCAAAGTTGTAAACTGGACCTCTAGGCACTATAGTGCATTTAGTTTGGATAACTGTACCTAACTTGGTTAAAAACTTCCTGTGTTTAGGGACAAGGAAGAGAAGAATGAGTATTCAAGAAGATAAAGTGGCTACCGTAGATTTGATAACAAGGGAGAATTGTGACTGATTTCTGTAACACAAAGATGCCCTTGTAGGATTTTACATTTTTGTGGTTTGTAGCAGGAACTCCCTTCACACACACATACACAGAAATAAGGACAACTAAATTGCATTTTTCACCTCAATGTCCTGTTGTTTCTTTCATTTTGTGAGGCCTTGTCTCAGAAAACTGACCTATTACTAAATGATTGGAATAAATGCATTTGCTTTCTTCTATTGAAAAAGGATACTTTAGATGCCAAACTGAACAATGATGAACCAGGTTTCACAAAACGAATCTTAAGTTTGAGCCTAAAATCTGTCTTATTCTTTCACAGAATGGATGGAATTTACGCCCTTTGAGGTAGGATTATTGAAATATGGTGCGTATGTTGGTTCTGAGCATTTTGGAAGCAAATTCTTCATGGGTCGGCTGATGAAGAAAGTTCCAGAATCTCAAATCTGCTTCATGAAAGGTGACTTAAATCTGTTTATGTATCATTACCACTTTGGGTAATATGATAATGCTTATAACATTTCCTAAATTAATGTATTTCTTGCTATGAATTTAGAATGAGTCTTTGTTTACTTCCTAAATGATCCCCAAGGCTGTTTTCTTCTACATATTTACTTGGCAATAAACTCCATGGAACAGTAAATGGATTTAGAATGCTGTGAGGAAGGCTAGGCACTAAGAGAATTGTGAGTCGGTGTGGTGTTTAGATTGTTGCCCTGCAGACCTGAAAAATCCAGAGTCTAGTCCCCAGTTGGCCATGAAGCTCACTGGGTGACGCTGGGCCAGTCACTCTTATCCAAACCACCCTCACAGGATTGTGGTCGTGAGGCTAAAATGGATTGGGGAGCTGTGTAAACTACTTTGGGTTCTGCATAAAAGTAAAAAAGGAAAGTTCAAATGAGGTACAATAAGAATAAGGCATAAAATCAACTAGTTCAGCTTGTTCACTAAGGAGAATAATTATACAAGGTCAAGTACAGTCTAAACTGCTTGGGTAGCAGTCAAGGGCCCAGCCTTAGTAAGGTGATGCCTGGCAAGCACTGGCTGGAGTTGCTCCTCTTTTTTGCCATGGCAACCTGCTTGCTCACCTGCCTCTCACTCCGGCCTGGGCAATGGTGGTGAGAAGGAGGTGAAGTAGGTGCCACTGCTTCCTTGCTCCCTGCCCTCTACCTGTAGGGTGACCAAGAGGTAGCAAGGATGAGAAAGCAGTTCCGGAGTAGCACCAGCTGGTGATAATGGTAGAACAGGGGTGCACTGAGGGTGTGCTGCCGTACAGCCTACATTGATCACAACATGTTGGACATTCAAGATGTTCTTGATCAGGAGACCTGGATCTGCTTGTGGGAGTAGATCTCACTAGTGCTTAATATTATTCCTTTATGTCCATTTCAAAGCAAATTTCAAGGTATTACTTTTAAAGTCATATATTGCTTAGTTTGTGAGTACCTAAAGGACTATCCACAGGACTATGTGGCATGGTTCTTTGGAATATGTACATTTTGCTTACATGTACATGTATGCAAAAAAGAAAACAGACAGACGTTCACTGTTTAATTCTTATTCTTTCTATTTGACAATTCTAAATAAAAGATGCCTGTTGCATTATTGCAATATTTCATTCCCAAGAGCTTGCAATTACATTTTGAATTGCTATTTCTACATCCAATTTTTAGCTCATGTAACACTTACACAGTGTCAAGCAATCTGCAAAATGATGCACAACGCATATAGGTCAGTTAGGTTAACATAGCCTGTCTTCCCCTGAATGATTTCACATTTGACTGGACTATGACCTGAATTTTGTAGAACACTCAAAGTGGCCAAGGTGGTGTGTGTGCAATATGCAATGCATATGCCAGGGCGACTTCTTTTCTTTTATAACTTTTCTTTTATAACTTCTTTCATATTGTTTATATTTTTTATTTATTTTATATTATTAATTTTAAATTTATATTGTTATTTTTATATTGTATTGTATTTTATTGTGTTGTAAGCCACCCCGAAGCTTCGGCAAGGGGCGGCATAGAAATGTAATAATAATAATAATAACAACAACAACAACAACAACAATAATAGGAAGATGTTTCCTCCCATATGTCACACTCTACAAGAACAACCAAAGCTACTTTAATCTTAAGTCAGCACCAGTTTGATAGGAATCGTAAATGCCCCCAAATGGACTTCCTTGCATACGTGCTTCATGCTTGACCTGAATTTATTCTTGGATCTCTCTCCCTCTTTCTCTCTAGGCATGTGGAGTAATGTTTTTTCCTATAACCTCCTGGATTTCTGGCGTGCACTTGACACTTCAGAAGAAAGCTTCTGGCAAAGATACACTCAGGACAGGATAAAAGATATAGGTTAGTCATGTGACCGTGCTAAAGTGGTCCTTGATTCAGTAAAGAGGAGAATATCAGGTTTCCAAGGAAAGCTCCTTTCAAAGAGAGACTGAATGCCAGATCTGGGTTTTAAACACTATGCATGTAACATTTATTCTATGATATAAAGAATAGAGAAGTATAAGAATACAAGTTCAACAATCATCAACATATCAAGAGGCCTCATTCACACTCGCATTCATGCAACACTCATACTCACAGTCAGTAGACCCTTTCAATGATCCATCGGGACTGTGGGTGACCAGTAGCAGCGCTGTTCTGACACATACGGGAGCTGGAAAGCCCAGTCATTTTGTACCTTTAAGTTGATGCTATCAGCTTAGTCCAACTGGATCGAACAGTGAACTCCTCTGAGCAGAGCTGACACACAGAGCGTGCTGGTCCACGTACCCTCTCACATTCCATTCTCTCTCTGGATGGCACAGCGTGGGCTTATCTTATCTGTTATGTTCCCTTCTCCAACCACTCCCGGCCTCTCAGTTTTCTCAGTCTGGTCAGGCCCATCATGCTTTTTCATTCTTCATTTTCTTCTGGGTCTTAGGCCTTCAGGAACCCAGGCACACTGTGACATACTGTGTACTCTGATTTATTTTTGGCTGGAAATTTTCAAAGTTTAAGTAATGTGGTCCCTTGCTCTAGCGTTCATTTGAGTGACACGATGCTTACCTACACTGGTGGTGGCTAATTCGGCACAAGATTTTCCACCAAGCTAAATCCAAGCAGCTTCATGATGATCAAGGTTTAATTAACTCATTGCAGCAAGTTACTTCTTTATTCATATTCTACCAGATTATTTGTCATTATTGTCATCTTTCAGCTGAGAAGAAGCATAGGACATTTCACTCTGCAAGTTATGCCATGCCAAGGAGGTGTAATGCATGTGAACAGGATTGGACATCCTCCAGAAAAAGGAAAACAAAAACAAAAAAAAGGAGAAGAAATGGCATACTAATTCAACATTCAGAAACTTCAGCATAATTAATTTTAAAATTTCAAATACTCTCAATTTTTGCTTAGTGAAATGTGACTCTGCATGACATGTCTAGAAAAATTAAATAAAGTCAATAATTCATCTTAAGGGAAGTATTATTTTGCTAGAGCTCCAGTTTCTATAAGGCCTTTCCCCTTTCAAGTGATATGATAAAAGGAGAAAGCACACTTTGTGTAGGGGGTGATTCCCTGTACACTTTTTAATTGCATGCACATGCATGTACTGGATGTGTTCCTTGAACTGCTCACTTCTTTGCTGATCAGAGCCAAGTGTGGTTTGAAAGGTTTCTCAAGCACTGCCCATGTACGATTTACATAAGGGGCATTCACATGAATCCCTTCATCTGTTCAGGGAGGAGTTCAAGGAGTGCGAGAACATGATGCACGGAGTGTGACTGCCCTTTTGCACTAACGTGAAACACATGGAACACTGGCTTTTGAGGACACACTTGTACTCCTGACCTCTTGCATGTTTGTGTAATGGATGAAAGGTTTTCTTTCAGGGTACAAACAAAACATCCCAGTGGCACACTTTCCCTTTTCTCTGCACATGCAGAGCTGGTCTTTCCTTCCCCTTTGACTGACTATTGAACACGCTTTGCCTACTGGGTGCTTCTGAAATCACAAGGGAGCATGAAGGCAATAGCATGAAGATGACCAGCATGGTTTTCACCCAACCTACTTGCTTCCAGCTGCTTCAAGAGCACACAGGCATTTCAATTAATGTGTAGAAGTTGGAGCAAACCCCACCATATGCATTCATTCAACTTTGATGCTCAGACATAAAAGGGCTTCCTATTGTGAGAGGTTTTTACTCTGAAAGGTAGCTTAAAACATGAGATTAAATAAAATAAGCACCTTTGACCAATTTGAAAACAAAATAGTTGTAATATGCACCACTCCATGCTGTTGGTTCTTCTCCATATGCTTTTGTGAATTAACTGCTCTAATTTCTTCTGACTTGCAGGAGAAAGGCCCCCTCAGCTGCCAGGGTCACATGAGCTGAATACTCATCTAGTCATCCCAGCCTGTAAGCCTGCCAAGGCCCTTCGTGAAGTCATCACACAGCGCTTAACAACGTCAGAATTCAACAACTTCTTAAACGGATTGCAGTTAAACAATGGATATTTAGATAATAAGAATTTTTATATGTGGAAGGGTAAGTGGTCTAAAATTCTAAGACAGTTTATACATTTTGATAGCTGCTAAAATGAGAACTGGCTAGGAGAAAAATATGATGAGGTTCATATTAAAAACTAGATGTAGATGTTTGTGGGTGATTAATTAAAATAAATATCCTACTGGGGGTTTCCCCATCATAAAAATGATACAGTAGCATAACTAAACTTTTAGTACAACGTGATGCTGTTCAGTTCATTAATTTCCTAAAACCACAAGCCAGAATAACTAAGCCAGAATAATGAATAATAAGTAACTAAATCCTATTGTCCCCATGGCAAAAAGTGCATGCCAGAGTGGTGAGGATTTCAGCTGTTCCTCACATAATGTATTTCATCTAAATGGCCATTTTTGGCTGTTGAGTTTGATAGGTTGGGGTGTCAAAAAGGATCAACGCACCCACACAGCCCCAGTTGCAACCTCTGGGGGTCAGCAGCTCCTGTGGTTCTTTCTACACTAGCTAGAAGTGTCAGGGGTGGGACCTTGACCGGTGTCTGAACACCAAGGTTGGATTCCAAAAAAATCATATCAACTCTTAGATGATACCAGGAGACTGTAAGCATGCATCCTAAAAAGGTAATATTTGTATTTTAAGATGGGAAAAGAACAGGGAAGCAAATAGGATTGTGTTTTGCTTATTCCCAAGCTTTTATTTTTAACTGGGTTGAGAAAGAGAGAGCTCAGAATCTAAACAACTGTAGATCATAAACTGAACCGCATTTAGTATTACAAAATGACCTTTTGTTACTTGTTATTTACTGTTGAAAAACAAGGCATAACAGTAAATTGTAGTTACATTTGTAGAAATCACAAATGATGAATTTACTTTATGATGAGGATTATGAGATGGAACCTGCTGGAGGTAGGGATGGGTTTTTTGTTTAATCAAAACTACCCTCAATCTACACCTAAGCTTTTCAGTGAGCTGAGACAAAGCTATGTTTGAAAATGAATATTTTTGCAAGCTTTCTAATGCACCTCACCTTGTAGAAAATGTCTACATTAGTGCAAAATGTGTACAAAATGCATATAGTTGAGAAAAGTGTATACATACCTGCATTTTTCCAATAGAAAGGCCTGGGATAGCATGCATACTTTTAAAAGAAGGGACAAAACAGAGTTGCACTCAGATCCTCAATCTTAGTGAGACAGACCTATCCATCTCTAGCTGAGTGAGGCATGCAATGTTTGGCATTGCTGACTGTTGTCAGAAGAAAATATTATGCTTCTGAAGAGGTCTGGGGCAGAAGAGAAGACAGATGCACCAGGACCCAGGCAACAAGAACCAAGATAATGCAAGTCTGGAATCCACTAACTAGTGTAGTGAAAAGTCCAAGTCACGATCCTAAACAAGTCAAGGTCAGAACGGGGAGTAGGCTGTGGAGCAAGTCTAGGTGCCGTCTGATAAGGCAGAACATAGTCAGAGCTGGCCAGAGGTCAGGAATTGGTAAGAAAATGCAAGAAGGAGCAGAAGCAGGTCCAACGAGGTGTGACCAGGCTGCAGCACCCTGCAGATGGGCATTGCTGAGGAAGCTCCTGGAGGGAAGAGCATACTCTTATATAGCTCTTCTCCCAGAGGCCCTGGCAGCTGCAGTGGAGTATGGGACAAATCCTGCAGTTATTCTGGTGCTAGGGCAAACAGATGGAGCCCTGGAGCTGGCCAGATCCCAACAGCTTCATATGACTGGCCCAAAATCACCCAGTTGGCTCCAAAGCTGAGAGGGGGCTAGAACCCAGATTGCCTGAGGCCCAGTCCTGTGCTCTTCACCACTACACCACACTGGCTGCGGAAACGCATCAACTGGCAAGAGACTTGTGGGGGATGCTCTATTCAACTGATTGTCCAAATTTAAAGGGGTAGTAAAATCACTTTTGCTTTTAGTTCAGCAGTTTATTATTGACCCTGATTGAGGCTTTTTTATTTGGCTTGGAAAAGACAATTAGAAAGTTAATAGCTGTGATCAATGTGTGTGGGCCCATCAGTGGCGCTCCTGCTGTGCTTCATGAAAGTTCCATCAAGTTGCTGAATTGCTTGGACTTAAATAATTATGGGGAGGGGAATTTTCAGTTCCTTCCAGGAGAGGAATACATCATCCCTTAAGAGACATGGGATGATTTGTAGCAGGATTTGGCCTGACTGACCCATGAAGAAGATTGTGTCTGGATGAAAGAGACTTTATGTTTATATATTCTGCCTCCATAATGCTTCCAGTGGATTATGTGTTGGTTTCCATTTTCTTGTTGCATCAGATCAGTGACTGTAAGATTTAAACATGAGTTTCAATGTTCAGGCAATGTCCCAGTTTGTTTGGACTTATAATTTACAAATAGCTCAAAGCCTGCTGGTCTTGCTGCTTTAATGTTTCCTTGTTAAATGATGAGTCTCTTTAAAATCAGATTCTTGCTGAGCTAAGGATATTTTGAAAATCAATGAGGTTACTCATGTTCTGCTGAGTGGGAGGCTAGTAAAGTTTTCACCAAGGACCAAACTATTATGAATCTCATAAAACTAAATTTTAAAAGGAGTTACAAATAGTTTAAAGTGATAGGTTGAAAAATCTTATAAGCACAACTCTATAGGGAGTTGCAGCATGTTAAATATGAGTTGGATAAGATTTTTTCACAGCAGATAGAATTTGTATTAGCTTGTTTAAGACAAGTGAGAATGGTGATGCAGATAAAATATGCCTGCATCCATATTTGCCCTCCCGCCCCTTGAGATCGGTGGCAGAGGCCCTCCTCTGGGAACGCTCCATGAAAGCATATTAGGAGGGTGAGTACCCAGAGGAGGGCTTTCTCTGCGGTGGTGCCCCACCTATGGAATGCGCTCCCCAGAGAGGTCCACCTGGCGCTGTCGTTATTTGTTTTTCGGCGCCAGGCCAAGACCTTTTTGTTTAAATGGTATTTTAATAATTATTAATATTATTTATTGGTTTTAAAATCTTTTAGCCAGGATGAATCCAGATTTTATATGTTCTTGTCTGTATGACTGTTTATTTATGATGTTGGAAGCCATCCCGAGGCTTATGCAAATGGGATGGCATACAAAAATTCCAAATAAATAAATAAATAAATAAAATCTTGGTATGTTGCCTTCAACAACAAACATTAAAACACTATTTAAAGACAACAGTGGCAAGATACTTATTCAGCCTGAAGATAGAAATTTTCTTTTTTTCTTTTTTTTAGAATTTTGAAATATTGCAATGTCTTATTTCCTCATTGATATTCAGCTCATGTTTGGAACCCCAGCACATGCTATCGAACAGACTCCTAATATCCATGCATTAGAACTTTATGCTGATGATCTCCTATTATTTATTTCTGATGTTCATCAGTCATCAGTTCTGGCTTCGATGCAAATGATTAATCATTTCATATATTTGTCTGGTTATTCTATTAGTTGATCAAAATCAGTACTATCTATTGGAGATAATACACTTCACAAAGTGTTAGTTAACTGGCAATTTAGACTTTGTGCTACATTTATTAATTATTTGGGAATACTCCTCCCTAGAGATACAATGCAAATTATTAACTTAAAATTGAGTAAGTAGATCTACGGGATCTGAAGAGACATTGACAGCTGGGTGTCTTTACTGCTCAGTCTATGGGGTAGGCAAATACACCTAAAATGAATAAATCATGGTTTATGGCATTGGGAGTATTAGGTCTGAACTAGCTCAAAGGCTTGCCTTTTGTTGTGGTGGTCACTAGGGAAGGCAATAATGGGCCTGCAGTGTGAGCATGCAATATTCTATATAGACATGCATATCACAGTGGCCAGCAGAAAATTGCGAGTACCGTGATCAAAGGAATAGTTGGCTACTTCATGTAATGATTAACTGCTAACAAGAATGTTTGCCTTTCAGATACTATGTTAGATACTCTTCCAAACCAGTTGACAACAGCTTCAGAATACCTGTCCCTTGCTGATACTGCATTGTATATAGACAGTAGCTACCCACCGCTCATGAGGCCAGAGAGAAGAGTTAATGTCATTCTGCATCTAAATTATTCTTCAGGATCACAGACAGCAGTGAGATGCCTTGCTATTAGTCTTTTGGGGGTTTGGAATCATTGCTTTCTCTTACTTGCATTTGCACTCTTTAGAGAAAAAGACCGAGGGCCGGTTTACATGTTTGAATGCTATGTATGACACCTGAAGACTGCTTGAAGTAACTTCGGCCAGGCAATTATTCCACACTGCAGGGGAACAGAGCTTGGCCACAGAGATTGTTCCTGTTTTATGATGAGTATTCACAGGCCTCGGCCTAAAGTGTAGGCATGGCTGGGCACTTCTCTACCACCTTCTTCTTTTATTTCTATATTATGCAATAGCTCTCTGAGGAATCTACAGCTCATAAAATACAATAAAAACTTGTAACAATATGCACATCATAGCATTCACTGCAAAATTTTAATCCCCAATTTAAATCACAAATTTAAATGATAGTTTGGGCAAGTTAAGTCAATTCATTTGTCCGGTTCACATGCCCCAACTAGGGTGCCCTCCGACAAAGGAACAGTTCAAGAATTTTTAGCCTCAAGAGCCTGGCATCAAGATGAGAGATGGTCAGGGCAGTGCTGTGCTGTGGGCCCCCCGTGGCAGCAGGGGCCCACCAACCGGAGCCCCCAAGATTGGCTGCTCCTCATCCCTTTGCATCCAGCTTGTTCACTCATCTCTCGCCCTGGCCCAGATGGCTGTCGTGGTGGGAAAGTAGCAGCAAGGACCAGCCTACTGGCTCACTAGCACTCTGTCACTCAAGCAATATTTCTCCTGGCACAGGTGTGAATACCAGTGATGGTAGACAGCGAAAGAGCTCCTGCCTGGTATGGCATTCTTCTTGGTCAGATCATTGTGTATAAAAGCTGCTACCTGGAAACTTTCTGATGGGTCTCCTGGAGGAAGCTTTAAGAGCAGTAGACCAGCCACCATCAGCTTCCCAAGTTGCTTTCAAGCAACAAACCAACAAAGAACCCCAAATCCAGTTGATTGTGACCTTACTTTCAAATTCTTTGGTTTCTTTTAGGAATGTGCAAGGAATCCACTGAAGAGGTCAACCTCTGGGAAATTAACCCAGCCAGGCCCCCAACATTCCAGCCAGTCTACTCTACATGAGCACTGACTCACTCCAGCATGCAGTCAGCCAGTGCACAGTCTTCCCTTTTAAAAGGCAGGCTACAATCTGCATATTTATTTTTTCAGGGAGGAAAATTTGCTCTAAATTGAGCTGTACTTTGTGCAAATGTCCCTGGCTTAAAACACACAAATGCACATGCATTGTGACTCATCTTAGAAGCAGAAGTCACAACGTGCTGCCCCTTCCCGTGCTGGCCCTTGAGCTGCTGAGGTGCTGCCTCAGCCTCCAGATCCTCAGTGGGGAGCAGGGGCAGAATGCTGCAGAGGAGCACTCCCAGTGCTTGCCCATGTCCCCTAAGCTACCCTGAGGTGGAGGATGCTGCCCAATGCCAGTGCTGAGGGGGAATTCCATGGTCAGTCCAGGGGACCCCTATAGACAGCCATGGAGGACACCATTTCGACCTGCTCAGGCAGTGAAGTGTCCTGAGCCAGCCTAGCCCTGGGCCCGCCTGCCTTTCTGTCCCTGACTCCACATAGTGGGCACAACTATGTGTTTGTTTTGCTTGCTCTGGACCTGGATGTAGATTGCCTTGTGGCGGCACGGTTGCCTTGTGCTACCGTGTCTTTCTCCCACTCCATTCTTTCTTATCAACTAGCTGGGAGCTAATGTGACACAGTGGTACTGGCAAAATGACCAAACTGTGGAACAGGCATTTCTTGCCCTTGCTATGAACTCTTAATGGTGTCCTTAGGAAAACAGCTTTCCTTTAGCATCCTATTTCTAAAATGAGGATAATGCTTGCTTATTTTTGAGGGCTGACGGGAGGTTTGATAATATATGAGGGTTGATAATATATGGCAAGCACTCTGAATTCTCCAGAGTGGTCAATAAATACTAAGGGCAAAACCTAGTCCTACTGTGGGACTTTTCATTAAGAACGCCCTTAGCCTCAAGAGTCATGTGCACGTACGCACACCTGTCCAAAAATCTATGTGCACACAAAATGCTGATGAGGAAAAGGTAGGTGCATGCAAACCTCCCTTAGCCCCATTAAGCTCTTCCTTGGTGCCCAGTACATGTGACTAATTAGTACTTAATGGGAATGTTGCACATCTAAGCATCTTTTAAAATGTAGAATATATTATTTTAAACAAGAGCAGTAAAGTGTTATTTCTGTTTTTGCTTTCTCACATGACAACCCAGACTTTAGATGAAGCCTCTAGATACTTCTCCAAGCAAGGCATTCCTTTCCCTAGAGTAGATATGGGTGATGTTAAAGACAAGGATTTAAAGGAGTGCTACGTTTTTGAAGATCCCAGTAATTTGGAGGCACCCATTGTGGTCTTTTTCCCTCTAATAAATGACACCTTCAGAAAATACAAAGCACCAGGTGAGTTATTCAAAATGCCTGGCCATTAATCCTCACTTCTTGTTAAACTGAACAAAGTGTTATACTATCCTACAGTACTTATTGCTAATAATCCTCTTACTAGGCTACCCTGCATATTTAGTTATAAGAAAACCTCTTCTTTTAACTTCCCATTTATCATCATTTAAACAGTTTAGCTTGTAATTGCCCTGATAATTTCAGGTTCACCCCAGTGTAAGCTAAACCGTTTAAATGATAAGAGATACAATATTGCTGATAAAAGCATGCATATAAAGCACAAATACTTTTCTGCTGCTCTTTGAAAGCTCTGTTGTGTCTCTGCGTTTTGGGCCTTGATTCTCCTTCAGGAGTTATATTAACAGAAAGTTTTGAAAGAATGGTAGACATTGAGCTCTTTGGTTCGTCCCTTAATAGACAAATTTGTCACTTAAGTTGGGGCAGATAGTTTGCTTGTTTTGATTTAATTTTAACTCCAACTGATTACTGTCCTAGTGAATTTTGGGAATTCAGACAATGTGAGAGTAGTTGATTTATACAGGGAGCTTTTCCTGGTTTCTCCACTTCTCCATAATGCTCAGAGTAGAATAGGTATATTCCTTCATGGCGAGAGACATACAGATTCCCACTCTGGGGGCAACTTTTTCATCTCCCTAATATTAAGATTGAAGATGCAAAAGTTCCACTTCAGACCCTGGGAAGTTCAGAAACGCAAAGAACAAAGCATAAGGCGTCCCATATCCTCTTACATCTCCACAACCTCCAAAGATGCTCTGATGTGGATCAGCCTGCCAATGGCAAGCATCTCTTTAAAAGGCTGCTACTACATATGTAGGTGTGTAGAGTTGCTGTGACTCTGTTGTGTCTGTATCATACAAGAATCCTTGCGCAATCATGGCAAACCCACCATGCTCAGATGGGACAATATTGGAGTCAGCTTATTAAGTTAGTTATGAAAAGGGCAGCTGCCCTTGCATCTCCTCCTGATCATTTCTTTGTTGATGCCATAGTGTGCTAAGAGAAAACAAGAAATCAGAAGCAGAGAAACAAAATAAAAGATTAAGGAAGTGATTCTGTGCAGTGAGAGAGGACAGCTGAGTGAGTGTTGACTATTGGATCATGGGCGTTCCTCCTCTGGCAGAAACCATCTGCAGAGCACCATGCCTGGTGCCATGAAAGTGGACACCATGTCAGGGATGCTTTCATGGTACCACCTGTAGTGTTCTGTAGGCAGTTGGGCCAGAAATGTGGACTTCCAGGAGCATATTGGGGGCTGCCTTCCAAGTAAGTGTGGCTCCAATGTCTCCTCATTCCCCCAACTCACCTCCTGAAAGGTGGGCAAATCTTCCTCACCTTCCAACCTGCATGGCATGAACCAGCAGAACTTAGGAAGTGGTGGGTCCTTTGCCATAGATTAATTTTTCACACGTGCATGTGCACGCACATGCACACGGTAGGATCTGCAAGACTGCCATCCTATATACACTTACCTGGAAGGAAATCCCATTGGACACATGAGTAGATGTGCTTAGGATTGCACTTATAAAAGGTACATCTTAAAATATCTACGTCATACTAAAAATGTTGTTGTTACAAAGCACCCAGACAGATTTAGGGTCTTTACATGCATACATAAATTTGTTTCAATCTGCATTACATTTTGTAAAAAGCAGTTGACTCAGCTGATGGTCAAGAATGGTCTGAAAGGTGACAGATGGGCAATTGGTTGGGTACTCAAAGTGTGCCACTCTGGTTTCTTAGCCGGAACAATAGCACAAAACAGTATACAGTATAACTAACAAACCCTAACAGTATAAAATTGCACATAAGAAGAAAGTACTGGAACAAACGTATGTGGGATCCATACCTTACCACTGTGGCATGGTGGCCACCTGAAAATTGCTTCATGGGAACTACAAGTAATGCAAAAAGCCAAGAGTGAGGATGTTCATCTTCCATTTCAGTCCATGTGAGAAGATGACATCAGCAAAATAAAATATGGTATTTTGCTCACATGGCTAGAATCACCCCATACCCATAGGAAGCCTGTTCAGACATGGCAGCTTTTCCTGTAGTAGATACCTTAAAGGTTTTGTTTCCCTGGAACCTCTACTGTGCTAGTGCTTCCACCAAGAAACAGAGGATGTATCAGACCTTACTTGCAAAATTGCCACAGCCAGCTTTGCAACACAGAGAACAACGCATGTGGACAGAGGTGGGCTTTGGGCTCTCAGCAATGTCATAATGCTGTGGCCATCTCTATTTTGCAGGTGTGGAACGCAGCCCCACTGAACTGAAACAGGGTGAAGTTGATGTGACGAGTCCCTTTTCTCCGTATGGATTGGAATGCTTTCAGTACAAGGAGGAAGATTTTGATAAACTGGTGGAACTCACAAGCTACAATATCCAGAATAATAAATGCTTGATCCTCCAGGCTTTGCAGCATGCAGTAGAAAGAAAAAGATGCCAGAAGAAACATTAGGCACCATGTCAAAACAAAGCGTGGTTGGTAAATGGGTGTTGGGGGTGCTTTGTTGTCCACAGATTCATTTATGTCCATTTTCTGCTCAGTTGAAAGGAAGACGGCCATTCTGAATTATGACCATGAATGCAGACCAGTAGTTTGCAAACCTTTTCCTCAGGAAACTCTCTGACAGGACCACCAACTGGAAAATCCCCCAAAGTGTTCTGGAAGCCATTTGGATCCATTAAGCAATGGGGATGGACCATCTTAATCAGTCCTTCACACTTGTGGAGGGTAGGAGAGGGTGCAAGTCTGAATCTCATGAGGAAGCTTCAGTTTATTCATGTTCATCTAATATAATCAATTATGGACCAGACAACTATTCATGGAGGAGCATTTTGAGGTAGGCAGCAAAGTGTCGTGCATGAAGCCCCGACAGAAACAGTGACTCGCGAGGAGACCTTGCACTTGACACCCTGCACCCAAGAGTCGCCCCCACAACCCAATGCAGGAGCAGCTGAACCAGCTATTGCGTCTTCCCCTAAGCCCCAGCTCATTGAGCAAACGCCTGGACCTTTATCAGAGACAGAGAGTCATGAGAAAGAGGCAGAGCAAACTGCCTGCTTCCCTCCTGACGCTGATCTCCCCGAGCCGGAAACAGAAGACACTATAGGTGTCATAGGTTTCTCAAAAGCTGAAAACAGATGTCTTTTACACAGATTTGAACAAATGCAAAGCAGGCAGCATAAGAGAGAAGAAAGGCGTGACTTGGGAGAATGATCCCACGTGGGCTCAGAAAGAGAAGCCATTATAGGACTGACATCTGCTCTGCAGGGACTGCTATTAGGGATCTTATCTATAGTATCGTAAATCTTGTAGACAATTAACATTAAAGGACTTTAGTTTTATTGCTCTGTGGAGAGCTGAATGTTTATACAACCCTTTCACGATACAAACTGAGTTTGGCCTCTATTTTGGGGAAGCCATTCTACAAATACATGTAGGCAACTACTGGTCCCTCCATTGCATTTTCCTGTCTCCTAGACTCCAGATGAGAGTTAACTCTGACTGAGCCTTGTGTTTGCAGAGAGGTTTGTGATGCGTAACATAGAACTGCCATGCTGATCATCAAAAGAAAAATTATCTTGCCTGCAACATGGGACAAAGGTCATCTTCTCCCATATGAATTTACTTGTTCACAGTGAGATCCTTATTCTACTTGAGAACCTTTCTTTCAGAGGTTAGTTTGGTAATGAACGGTGACAGGGCCTTCTCCATTGTAGAATATTAACTAAGCAGTCACTCCTTTATCCTTTCAAAAGGAAATGATTCTGTTTTCCTAGGCCAGAGGTGGCCACCTTTGGCTGGCTGGGCCTGATGAAGGTAATAGGCTAAAACATCTGGAGGGCCACAAGTTGTCCTCCTGACCTAAACCTTTACTCAGTTATAATATGGTCCACTGTACTGTTTTTCTACTGCTAGTCCAACTTGAATGTTAGATATTTGTTCTAACATTGAGCATTACAATTGTGTGACCTTATGCTGAAAAGTAAAGACACAAATATTTGAGTGAATAAAAAAGTTGGAAAGAATCTTTGATGGACTGCGCTGGTTTTACAGACTTAAATAAGGAAAACAGGGTGTTTTGGAATAACAATTTCAGGGAGCGATGCTGTGGCCTCTAGCCATTGTCTGGCAGACTATGGAATACTTGGGATTCCCAGCTCCAAGGTCAGAGACAGCTGTCAGTCTGCAGAGCTGGGCATCAGAGCCCCAGCCAATGCTGAAAGAAGATGGAAGGAAGGGCAATAGGGTTAGGACAAACTGTGGAATCCATCCCTCAGGCATTCATGGACTTCCTTCTGTGCTTGGTCCAGTCTTTGAAAGAAGACTCAGCTGAGAGGAAGACCGTGAGCATTAGTGGAATGGAGGTTGTGCTATGGGCAACCTTCTTCCATGTCACCTGCAACAACACAAAGCCTTCTGCACATGGCTCAGAAGAGGGATGCAATGGTCTTCCACCCCAAAAACATTTCCTGCTGCATCCCTAGCAGGAGTACCCTTAGCCTCCCTTCCCTCTGCTCTCCTGCATTTTCACTAGTTGGACTTTTCAGCCCACTAGAAATGGGACTTTGGAAGGAAAGAGAAGGGGGTCAGAAGGGGCTCAGTATAACCCACAACCTGGCCTCTCCAGTCTGCTTCCCTCTCCTCCTAGGAGAACACATCCTGTTCTCCTTTAAGGCTGTCTCAGAAGCAGAAATGATAGGATACATTGTCCTCTCAATGTACCACTTATACAGGCCCCTTCCAACTCTGCTATGATTCTATGACTCCTATCAGGGTACCATTGAAGGTGTCCCTGCAGAGTAAACATCAGTACCAATTTCTTTTAAGTCTACAGGATGTTGGTACATGCCTCTAGTGGAAAAATATTTCATAATATCATAGGTCCAGAGAAAAACAAACTACCCACATTGCTCCATCTATTAAATTCAACATTTGATGTGTTTCAGTCACCTTACATTTGCTGTTTGTGTAATTGTGTCTACAGTAGCATTTTACAGAATTCAAATTATTTTTATTCCAAATGGAATAATAGTTCATGCAATCTTTTAAGAGTAGCAGTAGTTGGGAAAAGGTCTATAGCTCATTGTCTGTTTTGAAACTTAGTTCCAGCTAGCATAACACTATCCATGACTAGTGGAAATGACAGCAATTGCTTGGGACAATGTATTTAATATTGTTGTAAGCCGCCCCGAGGCTTCGGCGAATGGGGCGGCATAAAAATGTTTAAATAAATAAATAAAATATCATCTGTATTGTGAGTAGTGGGCTCCCCCATGAACACAAACCATTCCTGTACCTGAGCAGTCACATTGCTTGTTGAATCTCAAGGACAGGCTCTGTCAAATGCAGGGATAATTGACATATGGGAAAACGGACACAAATCGGTACATGCCGTTGTGTGAAGGGAACGTGTGAGTTTCCATTTTGTCAAAGAGGTATATAGTGGGAAATGGATGCATTATCTTTTCATGAAGGAAAAAAATGCCACCTGCAAAGCGGTCCTAATGTTGATATTTGAGTTAGCCACGCACCATCTTTTTGCTGCGTTCTTCCACCACAGAGAGGGAATGCTCAGAGCTGCCTCCTGGGTGCAGGTAGGTGTTCACCAGGACACTCCATTCCTCACGTCTTGCATTTCTCTACCTTTGCAGAGAACAGATGGACCTATGACTGCAGGGCAACTAGAAAAAAAGGGGGGCATATATGTGGACATACACAGGAAACAAAAGGAATGTTTGAAGGGCAGATCACAACAGGACATTCTTTGGTGAAGGAGGACAGAATATTAGCCATGCTCATGGGCTTTCTTTCAGGGTTAGAAAAGGACTTGGGCCTCATTCAGGGCCACCTCAAGGAAACACAGACATGACCAACTCTCAAACTGTCTTCAGTGAAACCAAAAGCAGAGGAAAGTTTCACTTCCTGATGCACACTCGCGCACACACAGAGACACAACACACACTGCCCACATCAGGCATCGCTTGCTGCTCCTGCCAACCATAAGGGCAAGCTCACCATGCCATCCCCGTGGCTGTGCGGCTGACAACCTGAGTGTGCAACAGGGTTGAACTGGGAAGTGTTTTGCTTCCCCATCTTCCCAATGTGCTGAGTAGCAGTGTGGTAGGAAGCATAGTCCGGTGGTCTTTGGGACCTGAAGGCAATGGTACAACATTGTGTGTATGTTACTGAATATTTGGTTACTATAGGCAACCTCAGCAATCCCAGGGAGAACTCCTGTAACCCAGCAGCCCCCAGGCTTTCCCTCCCTGTGCAAAATAAATTAGCATAATAGGGAGAAGACTAGAAAAGAGCCTTTTAAAATCCCCCGACTCTTTTGCTGTATCTCTTGCTACCATTTGGAAAAGACAGGCAAGGAAAATGGGACTTAGCGAGCTGAACAAAGATGAGAGGTTGCACTTCGGTAAGCTCCCCATTTTGACAGAAGACTGACCCAGGTGCTCCCAATTTTGGTTAGGAGAATTCTGAGTAGTTCTGAGTTTGGGTGAATTTACTGATCCCTAAAGAATTTGGGATGGATTCCTCCCAAGTATAAGTTCGGCAGCTATTCAGCAGATATCATTGTCATTTGATGGAGCAGAAAAGCAAAAAAACAAACTAAACAAAACCCCACAATGCTCTAAAAGCATTGTGCAAATTACCACCAAATTTGATATTTGGACACTTGGTGACTATGGTGACTTTTCCTTCTGCTACCTTTCTGTAACTCAAAAGCAATTACAGTTTCAGATAAGCATCAGTTGGGAAACAGGTTAGTACATTTAAAAGTAAGCAAACCTAAGTAATATGTTATGTCACATACACCAATTGTACCTTCATTTGACACTCAGTATGACAATATGTATCCTGAGTATATCTTCCCATCTTAGAGCAGTTTGTAGTTGGTATGTTTGCTCATAAGCATAATATGCTGAATCTTTTATTGAGCATCACATAGTTTATGAGCTGTTCACCAAGCTTTTGCCAACATAATCTATAATGTAGTTAACATGTACATTATCATCATTGCACAATCCCAGGCTACCTGGTGGGGTTTTTTTTTAAAGCCCCAGACTATGCTAGTAAGAGTTAAACATTTTGATACCTCTTGTAATTTCTTTCCAGTATTTTTTAACCAGACTACAATACTACCATATTTGGAGGAGTTCCCCTTCTGCTTCTACATCTCTAAGACCCATTTGATACACTGGAAAAATTTTAACTGGGACATTTTCTTTAAAGTATCTTGTGACTTTGCATCAAATACATTTATAAGACAACTTCAATAGATCAAGTTGCCTTATAAAGCAAGTCATTAAACACATGCTAGCTTATGTGTACAGATTTTGCCTTCTATAGTTTGGGGAACCCAGTTAAAATTAACCTTTCTGCTAGTATAAATAGATAAAGGTAAAGGTTTTCCCATAGCATTAAGTCCAGTCAGGTCTGACTCT